GCTATTTGGCATGCTATTTAGATAATAACAATGACCGTTGACGATGTAAGCGGCTTCGTCATATATATTTCAGCAACAAGTTGTTGATGATGATATTCTTCCTTTTCTTATTTTACAGAATATCCTGCACGGATTATTCAACAATAAACCAGTGTACATGGAGTTGATATAAATCAACCCCCACGCTATGTAAATGTAAATATACAAAGTTTACTCACTTTTTATTCCCAAGTGAGAAGTAAATCATTCTCATATTTAAGATAACTTCGAAAAATATTTCTAGGGTTTGAACAAATCTGAATACAAAGTTTGAAAACTCTTGTTAATGCAACACGTATTTTTGTTTATCCACGTGTAATTGCAATTTGCAACTTTTATTTGTTTTGCTAAATTGGATGCATGTTTACATTATTTAGTGGCAGTCCTTCAACATAGTTTGTTTTTCGAATACATCTGATGCGTCCTGATCGATAGATTGTTAGCATTTTACTTCAGGAGTAGCTGTAGCATTTCCGAGTAATCAAATGATAACAAGATTACTTTTCAATTTCTATAATATATGAAAAAGTAGAACATAAAGTGCATCAAAACGAATTTATGAATCCATGGTGTTTATGGTGCTAACTAATGTTGGTTTTAATACTTAAACTACTAATACCGATTTACACTAACTATGAAACGAAAGTTTGTGTTTATAAATATAATATTCACCTATGTTGAATTCATACAATGATTTTACTTTACTTTATCAACGAGCCAATGAATGTCAGCAATCGCATCAATGTCAGTCTCGTGAATTCAAAACAAACAAGTTCATACACAAAACATGGCGAATCTCGAGAAGTATCTTCCTAAAGTTTAATGTAAATAAGTGCATTCTAGCGTCATCTATGCTCTAATTGTAAAGTTATATTTGCATATGGTGTATACCTTGACGAACGTACACCGACACGAGTGTATTCACTACCACATCAAAACAAACAACGCGCATCTTCATATCAATGAATACATTATTAAATTCAAATAAGAATAGTATTTTGCTTACTCCTGAGATATATGTTAAAGTAATTCACTGCAAAAATTATAATTTAATAAAGAATTTAGTGTCATAATATAGCATCAGAAGCATCAATAATATTTTCATCTGCGGTTTTCACACGAAAGTTAAATACATTCGTATTGCAGTGTTTAAATAAATATTAATAAAATTATTTGATGTTAAAACTAAGTTAGAACTAAGAGTTTGTGTTCCTAAACGCAATTGTGATGTTACCTGTCTTTATCATTGTTCTAGAGATTGTCACGACAGCCACAAAGTCGCGCTATCAGAATCATGCGATCAAAATAAACATGTTTCATACACGAAATGTTGTAAATCGCATGAATTCTCTACCTGGAATTTAATGCAAATAAGTGCATTCTAGTGTCATCTAGGCACATCATTTATAACTATATTTAGATAAGGTGCATACTGTGTGTAAAATCTCATGGACACGAGTGACTTTATTTAACTCAATGCATTTTCACTAACATAAACACACAACGCACGCTGTTGCAAATATAATTATTTGAGCCGTTTATTTTGAAAGTGACCTAACTCCGTTTTTCAAATTTTTGCCGGTTACCATGGTTACATGTACAACTTCATGTTATTTATCAGTGACGCACTTCAGATTGCTTATATTCAGAGAAAATACGGAACATTTTTTACACATAAGTTTTCCGAATTAATTGAATAACTGAGCCGTGCAGTTTGAAAGTGGCCTAACTCCATTTATAGTTACATCAAGATATTTACTATTGATAATGTCGGAAAGCAGCGATGAAGGTAATTTCAATTAATTAGTATTTACAAGTTCACCTTATTTTTGGGACAATTGCGTTGGTTAATTAACCTGTACGTTTAATTAATATAAAACTTAAAATTTAATATTAAATTATAGAAATTATTGCACCCATGAGGAAGAACAGAAGAAGACCACTTAGTTCAAATAGTGAAGAAGAAATAGTAATTAATAATTTAAAAAAAAGCGAATAAGAAAAAGAATTATAGAACAATATTCCTCGTCAGAGGAATTCAAATAACAATGGAGAAAAGAGTGATGCACCATATATCTAAAAAGTGCGAAAGATTAAACAGAATTCAGGGAAAAGATATTGCAGTCAAACCGGAAGTATTGTTCAAGAAAAAAATTTCGAAAACAAAGATTGTGGTTGTCGGAATGCGTGCACAAAAAATTATAATGAAGAAGAAAGAAAGAATATTTTTGAGAAGTTTAGGGGTTTGGCAGACTTTAACAAACAAAATGTATTACTTCACGAAGCTGTCTGTGAAACGAAGACGTTTTGTTTTTCAATTTGAAACATCTTAAATTATGTTGAATGGACTTAGGCATCCTCGAATTTTATAATGAATCTGGCTGTTAATTTTGAAAGTGGCCCAACTCCATTCTTGATAAGGAAACGCACGTTATTTACTTAATAATTGCCACTATTTTAACAGGAACTTTAAATTTAACATCCTTAGATACGCTTAAGCAGTATGACTCCTTATACCTACATTTTTAAATTCATTGAAACGCAAAACTTTCAATATCTCGATTTGAAGATAAATGGAGTTAGGCCACTTTCAGAATAAGCGGCTCATTTAATGGAAATAAGACATAATGCAATTTTAACATATTTATTTCAATAATATTTATGTAAACCATTAGGCTTTAATTCTTAATAATAAATGTATAAAAAATATAACATCAGATGCATCAAAAGATTTTCTTAATTCATGTCGTGATCATCGCGAACACAAGATTTAAATAGATTTGCATTGTTGTGTCCGGAATAAGAAGTAATAAAATATACTATTATATTGAAACTTTGAACTCGTATTGATAAAGAGTTTGTGTTTATAAACACGATCGACAACGTTGCTGGACGCGTGATTTTACCTGTCTTTATCATTGTTCTAGAGATTTTGCGACCGCTACAAAGTCACAATATCAGAATCGTGCGATCAAAATAAACAAGTTTCTTGCACGAAACGTTGCAAATCTCGTAATTTAATTTAATGCAAATAGGTGCAGACTAGTGTCATCTAGGCACAACATTTATAACTATGTTTAGATAAGGTGCATACTGTGTCTCATGGGCATGAGTGACTTTATTTAAGTCAATGCATTTTCACTAACACCAACAAGCACTGCACGCAGATGAAAACATAATTATAAAAACCTTACAGTGAGATAGAACAAGAATTGTCCTTAGCAAATTTTTGTTCATGAATTATTCTCGACCTCTCCTATTTTCCCAATTTGAATACGTTATCTTATAAAGAATTTTCTGATGATTTAGAATCTTCAATTCCAAATAATTGGAATTGAAAAAACCGAGATAAAAGAGAGTTAGGGATGGTTAAGGCGGAATTCCGCTAAATTGCATCTTCAAGTATAACTCTTGCTCTTTTGTAGGCGGAGGAGAAACTGAACAGTTAATTTTGAGATGTATCAGCCGGGTACGCAACTATCTTATTATTTGCAACTCGCGGTAGAACGCGATAAATCAAATCAACGTAAATACAAACAAATGAAAGATGCAGAAATTAAAACGAAAAATATACTTGAATTATAAACTTACCAATGAAGAACTCATGGACTCCAAGGCACGGCAAATAAGTAGGTACTGTAAATAAAAAGAGAAAACATAAGTTAAAACAAAAATATTTTATAAAATTAAGTATGTAATATTATACTCGTAATCACACAGCGGAGGAAGACAAACAATCTGTGCTGTTTAGTTAAAAGATACCTACACCAGCACGATGGGTCATCCTAATGATGAATATGAAATCAACATGGGGGCGATGCACTTAACCGGCATTTACGGAAAATATACGCGCAAACAGTAAATAACATTGCTATTGTCGATTGATGATCGAATATAATGCGAATTTGAATGTCCGGAAATACAATATGAGTCGCGTAAAGAACGTCTGGATCAACCAGAAACCGGCACGAAACTGGCTGCAAACTGTGCAAGCAACGATGCGACAGTTTATGATAAGAAAGCAATAGATGCGCAAAGCCAGTGCAGTGCGTCGATGACACGCGACCTTGAGCGCGACACGTTACCTGTGATCAAAACTAAACTAAAATCGCCAACATTCGGCGTGAGAGAATCTCATGCGTTGCATTCCACCCGGCAAATGCGATAAGAAAATGAAAGTTGGGATCAAAATAAACACAATTCTTGGGCCGAATGCCCACGTTTGCTGATAAATATAGAAATAAACAATACAAATCCATTTCAATATTTTCAATATTTTTAGATCATACTTGTGCCATCTATGTATGATACTGAGAGTAGTTCCGCAGTTAAGATTATTAAAAATAATGCAAAATTCAAATTCGATTTATCTTTCTAATTCTAATTTCTTATTGCGAAAAATAAGGTAAGGTTGCGGTTTCATCATAAACTAAAATGATAGAAAAAAACGGGTAGTAGATTATTAATTTACGGGAATTTCTCTATTATGGAAGATTAGATAATTCTCTATCAGATGGAAATTTAAACTAATTTAAACTAAAACTAAAAGAGATAGAAAATTCTCTATCAGATGGCTGCGTTAGGCAGGGTTAGGCTGGGTTAGGCAATCATCCACGTACAGTGCCTTGAACACGAGTCACTTCTACCGCTGCCCTTGTACGGCGCCATGAACACGAGTCATTTCTACCGCTGCCTTTGTACGGTGCCCTGAACATGAGTCACTTCTACCGCTACCCTCATACGGTGCTGTGAACACGAGTCACTTCTACCGCTGCCCTTGTACGGTGCCTTGAACACGAGTCACTTCTACCGCTACCCTCATACGGTGCCGTAAACACGAGTCACTTCTACCGCTGCCCTTGTACGGTGCCCTGAATACGAGTCACTTCTACCGCTACCCTCACACAGCGCCCTCACATATCATTGCAGATATGTGCATCTTACCCCAATTTTAACATATATTATATTTCCTTAATAATTTGAAATTTATTAATTAATTATCAAACAATGAACAAAATTAAATGTAAATGTATCGCTACAAACGCAAATAAAATATTAAGTAATATACAATTAAAATTCGACCAAAATCTCCTCTAACGGCTTACGTGCTATTCCCGGTACTTGACAGTCGTTTGTAGGATAACCCACAGGTAGTAACAACGTTAACTTTTCATTTTTAGGACGTCCCAGTAGAGCCCTTAACGCTGGTCCGCAGTTTAACGGAGTAGATGTTAACGATACAAGACCAGCATTCTGAAACGTATTCAAATTATTACCTACATTCAACTTTGCAGTGAAACAAAGTGAAACCTACGTGTATAGCAGATATTAAAATACCAGCCGAAATACAAATACTCTGCTCATTGTAATAGTGCAACTTTTTCCGACCATCTGACTGCCGGTAACTGTGCGTCTGTTTGAACATGAGAATTAAGTACGGCGCCTCCGTGAGATACTCTTTGATCCAGTTCGTACGGAAAGGCTTTAAGTCTCCGGTCCACACTTTTCCCATGCGCTTTTTGTAATTTATTTCTTCCTCCTCTTCGATAATAGCGCGAATTTGTCGCTTCATTTCCAGACTCTTAACTAAAACGAACGTCCACGGTTCCGTGTGTGCTCCGCTTGGACTAGTACCTAAAACCCAGGAAAGATTTATCATTATCTATTTTTAAAACGTAGACTATTAGTTGATTTTTCTTTTATACAGGATGCTACGCTCAAAAAATATATTTCCAAATGCGTACCTGCAGTTTTGATACAATTATGTAAAATCTCAACGGGAACGTCTCTATCCGAAAAGTGCCTAACAGTTCTTCTCTTGTTCATCAATTCGTAATAGATATTCGAACGCTTTAGCGATTCCTCGGGGGATATCACATCAAATATTAAGGGTACGTGCTCGACGTTTTCCAAACTTGGCGTCCATTCCTCTTCCTCTGCATCACTGCTGCTATCTTCATTCTCCTTAATTTCAGCAACTATCATAAACCACCATTTTAAGTTGCCTATATTTATTTAAGTGTATGAACAAGTGCCGCACTTACCTTGATCGGTTGTTTTTAATTCACTTTCACTTTGGTGCAAATTGGAAATTTTTTTACCGTTGACGTAGTGCTGAAGTAACTTGAGCGAAATAAATGCGCATATTGGTATGGCAAAAAACTGCCAGTACATTAAGAAGAACATTCTGTGTCGAGGAGAAAACCGCAACTGATGCGATACGTACGAGGTTATCGTTTTTTATATGATTGGATATAAATATACCGATTGTTAATTTGCAATAGATATTTGTGTCAACGCTTTTATTTGTTCTCTGTAAACATGACTTTCAGTAGATTGTACACATTTTTACAATTTTGCGAGTTTAAATGATGTTTGTATACGATATTTACTTTATATTAAGTTGATTTGGGTCAAGTTCCATCTAAAACCAAATATAATTATGAGTTAGATAAGATTAAATCAATTTTAAATTAAATTTAGGTCTTAAACTGTTTTATTAAATTATTTCTGGACAAATTTTAAAATTTGTTGATCTTTGCGCGTGTTTAAATATTTAAATTCTTTGCGAACTGTTTACGCTTTCACTGACCGAATTAAAAGTCGAAAAAAAGTTGATTTGTTCAATATCGTTGCGCAACAGCCGCGGTCGCTTACACGTCTCGTCGTGAGTTCTCGTTCGAGTCTCCTTGAACAAGTTCCGTTTGGATTGCATGTACTTACTCTATGTACTTTACGTCCTCGGTCACAATTTGCAGTTAATACCGGTGACTTTGACAGCGATATAAATATTCTCAACAAAAACAAAACACCAAAGTCATGGCGATCGTGCGCGTTTTAGAAAATGCTAAAGGAGTTTGCACCGAACTCGGCAACATCATAAAGCAGTTATGCGACGATTCATCGGCAGAAAAGTACTTCAAAGTTGGAGTATCTGGTAAACAAGAATATCCAATATTTTATTCATAAACCAATGCAGAGAACAAGGGCGAAGATGAAATTTTGCTTCCAATATTGCAGGCGGATCCTTAATCAAACTTCTCACCGACGCGCTCTTGGAAAATCCTGACATTGATTATGCCAAGTGGAAGATATTTTTTTGCGACGAGCGTCTTGTGCCCGTCGATGATAGCGATTCAACATATGGCGCTTACATTCAGGGATTTCAGGGTAAAGTGGCAATTAAACCAGAACAATTTGTTACTATAAAGCAAGGTTTATCAGGTAAATAGATGAAAATTATATAGAAATATGACAAAATGCTTATATGCGCTTTGTGAACAGCTGACGATGCAGCTAAGGATTATACACAACAGATGGAGCTGTATTTCACACCCGGAAAACTTCCCGTTTTTGATTTACTGCTATTAGGGATGGGACCAGATGGACATACTTGTTCACTATTTCCGGGCCATCCCCTGCTTAAAGAGTGTTCAAAATGGGTAGCCCCAATTACAGATTCCCCAAAACCACCACCATCTAGAGTGACTTTAACATTTCCTGTTATTAATAACGCTAAAGCATGCGTTTTTGCAATGACCGGGCAAGGAAAAGCGGAAATGGTTAAGGTAAAGCCATCTCCTACAAGAGAACAAAACAAGTTTGAATAATTTATTTATTTGTTTAGAGAATTTTAAAGGACAAAGAACCACTTCCCGCAGCAATCGTACAGCCCAAACAAGGCAAACTTTTCTGGATTTTAGATCAATCCGCCGCAGAGTTAATATAACTTGAGTAGTTTGCACAAAATTTATTACGGTTAAGTTTATGGAATTTCATCCTCGTGCATCGCTTACATTTCCATCGATTAAGTCGAATGTTTTTACAGGCAAAAACGTTGCTTAATCGTTAGCTTGTTCACAAATCATGGGGTTTTAACAAATAGCAACGTTTATAACAGCACCATTGGTATACTAGTCTCTAAATAAAATAATTAATATAATTTTTGTATCACCCAAACGAAAAATAAATCTATTTTCTACAATTTGACTAATCCAGAGTCTAAATAAATGTCACAACTATAAATACAAATGTGTATAATTTTAAAAATATCTGTACTCGTGTATGATTGAATGTATTTCAGCACGCACGAGTACAAGTTGTATATCATAAGATCTTTCATTACACACGAATCCGTTAGTCTTTCATTCGCCACTATTTGTTAAAACACCCTGTTTGCCCACAGCCTAATCAATCATCAATAACAACCACTTGCAGTATTCCTCACTCGCTATCGAAACTTAATACAATAAATAAAATAAATAAAAAATGCCAGTTAAACAATAAATACATTTGAGATATATTAAAAAAAGTTACTACTTAAGTACATCACATTCAATTTGCATTCTCGCTTTATTATTATTTTTTTAATATTCCGCATTACGAACCCCATTAAAATGGCATAACAATTCCGTTAACTCATGCTCATCGCGAAAACTTCACAAGAAACTTGGTAAATTGGTATAAAAATACAACAAAACTATAAAGTTAAAGGTATAAACAATAATGTACATGTTAATTCACCTAACGAGAGGAATCTTTGGTGTCGTCAACATTACTTAAGTTTGCGTTATGATTTCTTTTCAAAAGAATTTATCATCAACACTCATTCCGCTTACGTTATTATATCTTTGTTTTATGTCAACAACATTTAATTAATGTTTCTTCTTTTGTAATTCGTATCTATAGAATTGAAGTTTTGCACAACGTGATACATAGTTAAAATTTGTCAGTTAAGTCGAGTTAAAATTTAGTAACGCAACGATATTAAACAACACCAATGGCAACTTTGCCGTTTTGAGCGCCGACGGGTACCGCCTGCTTCACACCTAGATAATGTCTTCATTATTGTTTTAGTTTTTCAGCATTTATATTTAAAATATAGCGTACAATAACTTAAAAATAAATAAATTGCCTAAATGATGTCGAGTATGCTGTGGTGTTGTGAATGTTGAACGCGAGTTTGATGATACTAGTTAAAACTTAAAAATGCAATTTACCGTTTAGGTTCTTACTGCCGAAGAAAACAATATTAGAGAGTTTTAAGAGAAATTGCAATCGATAGCAAGAGACATTGTAAGAAGAGCAGAATCTTAGGATCGCTTAAGCCGACGCTAAACAGCGTTACCGCCTCGACCGTCGTTCGAGAGCTGGGGCAACGCGACAGCAGCGTCATTGTTGATGCAACAATGGAGATGCTGGTCGTCAGGGAGGCCGCATCGCTTGTCATGTTGGCCGGTGGTGGTGCCGCGTTATTCATTGGAGTGAAGTGGTAGATTTCATTTACATAAATAACAATTGTTCGTCCTACGCTTTCCCTGCATCATGTCATATTGACCCCCAGTATGCGGCTAGAATATTCGTACACCACGTAACTTATGCTGACGGCTGGCATCACCTTAATAAAGTTGGGCGTGATGCCACGGTAGAGTCCAACGAAACCTTCTTTCTGTAGAATGTTCTTAAAAACTCCTGTCATGGAATTACTACTTCTATCTACAGGCATATCCATTATTGCTATAAAAATATTTCACATTGTAATTTTAACATTATTAAAACTCTTTAAGTATATATTTACCTTGGGCTTGCAATCGGGTTCGCACTAATGCAAGTGGATAAGAACACATCTGCCCTAATGTACTGGAAGCGCTGCCGCAAGCCAACAACAAATAAAAACTCGGTTGTTCGTTGCAGTTGCAATGCTTTTGAAGATATTTTTTCTTAAGTGTTTCATACACCGCTAAATCAATACCCGCATACGGTATAATACCCAAAATATTTGGTATGTATCCACGATAGAAACTCAGCAATCCCTCTTTACTGTAAATTTTGAACGCTGCATCAGCAATGCCTTTAAACTGACCAGTTTTACGCAGCGCCAGCCGCGTCTTCAGCACCTCCAAAGGATATATCGCAGTCTGACTGATGCCGCCCGCCATTGCGCCGGCAAAGAACCGCTCGTATATCGTCAGAGCCTGTTTTGAGTCTCCCTTGATGGATCGTTTCACCTGCTCATAGGCGGCAAACTTTATCGCCGACTCGGGAGCAATTTTCAGCACGTTGATGCCATTGCCTCGCCAAAGTCCTTGAACGCCCCCTTCCGTCACCATACTTGTGAAACAATTCTTTATCGATTGCTTTGAGGATTGTACCTGAAGCAAACACCGTAAATAAGTCTCATTGCAATTACTCTAGATCAAAAGTAAAAATAACTTACTTGTAAAAACACTTTAAGCCTATCTAGTGGTGCGGTACAGGTTCGGGAAACAGCGCCAGCGATGCCACCAGCAGCCAAATGTCGCCACCACATGCCAGTTTGCATTTCTTTCTGTGTGAAGTCATCCGGGACGTTCATATCCTCACCGATATCCAAGTACTGCAACAAGAATCCCATATTTAGAATACATTACACAACTACAGCATTTCTTATGATAATAGCTTTATACATTCCAAAGAATTTTTACCATCTTTTCCTTTTTCCCCCTGCTTTCTGTCCACTCTTCCACATCATCGTCCATCATATCGTTAATCATTTTAAATGAAAGTTCTGAGTCTTCCAGAAACAACTCTACATTAGGCATAGACATAAAAACTAAACTAAAAAATGACAACTGAACAGCTTGACTTTGACATAAACTGATATATAAATTCAGTATATTTGATAGGATAGTTGTATCTGATCTATCTAAGCACGTTATACGCTAATTTGTTTTTATTTGCAATACAGTCTCAATGATATACCTGCTATAATAAAATAATACAATCCATTGTATGATAAACTTGCATACATAGAACTAATAGAGTAATTATTTTGTTTACTCTCGTCTGTGCGCTATGCTGCCTTCATTGTTACAGTTAAACAAATGTTCATGAAAGTCGAAACAGAAATAAAATATTTAATGCGACCAAGGGGCAAGTAGCTACTTCGATGTAACATATAAAATAAACAATATTGCATAAACTTTGATGTCACACGATCAATATAAAATGTAAACAGATTAATTTAAAAACAAAACAGCGACAATCAAATTCAATCATGTTCGTAAAATATTCGTTCATTGTATTAATAATGCGATTTTTGTCCGTGGGTATTCGCGGGTCACAACTGACGCAACTTAAAGTAATTATTGACTTATTTGATTATGACGCAGACCGTGGTGATAATAGCCCGTGTTGCACGAGTTTAAAAGTAATGATAAAAACATACCAGACATTTTCAACCCAGCATTTTCTATGGATTCCGCACGAGACACCAGCAATCTTTTTAATAATTAAGCCGCGACACGTGGTGATCGATACCATCATCGCAGGCATTATTTTCGTGCACTTTAAGTAACACTCTGCCCTAATGTCAGGGCTAATGAAAGTCGTCACCGGCCATGTGAAACGTGATTTCACATCTTGGCATCTGCTAACTCACCGAAATAACACGCGATTATCGTGCGGCGCATTATGTAAAACTTGGAACGATTTCATTTTGCAGCTCAGCGCAGCACGTGCAGGCACGCGACAATATTTTTTGCTCTCGGTTGTTATTGGTGTATGTTTTATATGTACAAATATGGCAATGTATTGAAATTAATCGCATGCGTCTCGTCAGAAAATATTCCATCAATAGATAAGCAATTTGTATATAATTGTATTTGTGCACGCGAATTTTTAATTTCTATGATTAACTTGATAATATTGAGTGAGAATAGAAATTTTCGGTGAGTCATTGTCCTAATTCGGCTGGCATTGACTCTCAAATTACAAATAATTGCATTTTGCAATTCATAACCGCCGAATACACCAATCTGGGCAGCATGTCTGGCGAACCAGTAACATAATTTTTGATTAACGCTGGGTCGTTGGCGGAACTTGTTCATGCGACAACGTGGTGCTGTTGCTAGGCGCGGGAACGCGGCAAAATGCACAAGTGAATGAACGGTGGGCAAGTACATACTAAAATTCCTTTCAAGGCTGCCACCGCAGCTCAGACACCGCGAAGCCGGTTGGTTTCATAACTTTCACCGAATTACAAAAAGCATTTAAAAAAACCTCAGCACAATTGCTTAAAGAAAAAGAATGTGATGCGCGTGCATGCAACCAACCGAAATTGTGCACAGGTACAGGTAATTCGAGTGGGGAATTCCACGCTTTCTAAAACAATATTTCATTGAAACGCGTATCGGGTATGAATCACATCTGAGGCAATTATGCACAACTATGCACAATACTCATTGTGAAAGATATGAAATTCTACGAAAAAATAATTACCGCTGCTATCAGCTGCCGGAAAATGAAGATAAAGTCCTCGAGCGCATCCGGTATCGGATTGAGTGCCTCCTGCTCGTACATGTTGGTGAGTATTACTCTCTTCGCCACCGTAAAAGTTTTAAAAAGTAACGTAAAACGAATAAAACTTAAATCGCGCGCGAATTCGTAGAAGACGCTTTAAAAGCACGCCGGTTCACGCACACACACCACGCGCCCCGAACTTTACTAGATAGGCTTCTTAAAGTGTAGCACACAAATTCGCTGGCGAGCCGAGGCAGGTATAAGAACATACTGAACCGCGCGGCCTAGGCATGTGGGCCAGCTGTCGCCGGCTACAAGGCATGCGATGATTACATGAATGGATCCAGCAGCAGTGGGGCAAACCACAGTCGATGACGTCGCGTGCGAGTCATCGCTCAGCAACGTCGCGGCAGACTCCAAGTATCGCGCCGCGCCGAACTTCGCGCTCTCTATCCATGCGGCGGGCGGATTTCGCCGGTTCTAATCGTGAAACTCGTGCTAACCGACGCGACGACGACGCGCATTTGTTTGCATTTACAGCGCTTCGTTTTTCTACAACGATAATGTCCCGAGGATAAATAAATAATTTTCCTTGACGATCAAAGATTGAGGTGGAATTCTCCTCAAAGGAAAAATTATTTCAATCGATAAATATAAATATTATCGTAAATAATTTTGATTATGTTTTTTTCGTATTTTCCCGTCACCAGGTGTTAATTAATTACAAGTTGACTTAGTCAAGAGCAGTAAAATTGAGTAAGTGCAAATTTGACGCTAAAAGAATTTGAACTTATTAGATTAAATTAAGTTTAATGGAAGTTTTAAATCATATTATTTATGCATGGCAAGTGTCTACAAGTCAACAACGATAGGAAAAGTACAATCGACATCAACGCAAAAGAGATTGTATCTGCAACTTATACAAAGAAGGCACGGTTGGTTGAAAGTTTCAATGTGTGTAGTTGAGCTGACGTCATTAAATTGCACAATGCTCAGCTCTCGCTGTTCACGCTTGGAGCATGTGAGGTATGTGTGCTCTGCCAATCGCCGCGTGCGACCGCGGTCGAGCCTCCCATTCGATTTTCAAACCAGAAGCGTTGTTGCTATTTGAGCAGCACAATTTAATCAACTATTCTATACGATCCATATTTTTTGGGTCGATGAATAATCAAATTAATTATTATTGTAGACGGTACCACGCGAACATGTGTGCAGCAGTTCTAACTGCTTTGCAATAAATGCAAATGACTGTTAATTCAATTCCAAGAATCAACTAACATTAGCTCTGCATTCGGTCGGGTCATTGAGAAGAAATAGGATGTTCAAAGTATAAGCAGTCTTTTGTTACTAAGTGTGTCGTACGATACGATATTTTTTTGTTTTCATTTTTGATAGTACGAGTAGCAAGTCGCACCACACCAGTCAAAAGATCAACAAAAAGGTTTATTGCCCAGTCACTGACAGACAACCGCTTATCCTTTCTCTTATCTTTATATTTGAATGCTCGTATATTGCAAAAAACATAAAAACTATTATTTGTGTCCTTGAGAAGTCTTTGTTTAATTATATTGCAGTTGTAAACAAAATTACCAACAAAAAAGAAAACGTTATGATGATGTCCACTGCTTGCAAAATATCTCTTTATTTATTCGCAACAGACTTCTTTTTATGGATTTTTTTTGCGATTACAACTTTCACTTACGTATACCAACATAATTTTTGCAAACGACCGAGATATGATGTGCTGACTCTTCTTTCGCGCTTAGATACTTCGTTCCAATATTATAATAAATCTATTTTGACGCATAAACAAACAGAACGCTTAAGGTCACGTGGATAATTTGATTACGTCGATGTCTCCGAGCAAAGTTTCTTGGAAGTCTGCCTTCAATTCAATTCGGGAGACATAAAAAATACCGCAAAATAAAAACGAAATTATTTTTAGCGAACCTTGTAAACATTCGTGTGTAAAATTCGGAGGTGTGTACTTCAAGTGCTTGCCAATTTCCGTTCACCATTTGAATTTGGTGATAATTCATTTCTGTCCGCATTGTTTTTGTATTCGTACCGTACTGCTGCTGATAAAATGACTAGAGCAAAGTTCATTAGTCTCCAATGAGACAAAACTACGTAGTTAATGACCTATGTAGTTAATGTAAAGTACACCTGAATATTTAATCTCTAATTTTTAAATTGTGTTTTATCTTGATAATAATTATGAAATGTGCAAAACCGCACATATTACCACACATTAACCTTTTACCTTTATTTATATTTTTTTCAGATAAAGTTCAATTAGATGTGTCATTAAATTTTTCAACTTACCGTTGAATGACGCCAATAATAAATAAGTTGGTGAATGTCCGTACTGGGCGCAAGCAACAGAAAGTCTCGCCATTCGTCGAAGCTAATGTTCAAACTACCATCCTGATCCATTCTAAAACAAGAAGTAAAACGAAAGCGTTAGTAAAATTCCAGGTTATCAAATAATTTAGCGTATAAAACAGCGCAATTGGATTTTAAATTAAAAAATGAGAGAATTCTTATCGAATGGGGTTCAAATTGAAAAGAAAGGGTGCAAATAAATGAACTTAAAACGTACGAAATAAGTTTTATGTTGAATACCTCTGTAACAATTTCGTCGCTTCGTTTCTATCTAATGGTATGCCAAGCTCCTGGAAGGCTTTAATTAGTTCATCTAAATCTATTTTACCTGCAATATGCAATTACATATTAGTGAATTAGAATAAAATACAAACAATTATCTTTAAATATAAAGTTATTACATAAATTACGGGCGCGTGTATTTCAGCAAGTGTTAAATGTAGCAAAGGTGCTAAGTATTCGTATCGACAAATTTCGCATTTCATTATATGCCTATATCTAATTACCACTATAAATGATAAGATAAATTTATTTAGTTATATATTTTATTCAGTAGAATAAAAATGTAGTCATCCGGATTATCCAAAATTATGAAAGTCATACGCTTGAACTTAACATTCCCAGATAATCATAAACTAGTTGAGTCATTATAGATTGTATAGTAACAATCAAAATCAAATAGATTACAGTGATAACCGAGACAATGGAGCGGAAAAGGCCTAAATGAGTTATTTCATGCTACATTGTAGCAAAAATTCAGACCACTCTAATATTTTGTAAATAAACCAATACCTAATTCGCAAATTTTTAACAAGCGAACGCTATAATACGTCACGATAAACAATATGTTTAACGCAAGAGTGCCAAACGCGTGTGTTAATTTTTTGTAACCAAATTTAATCAATTGCGAACGCGATAATTAGCTAATAGCGTAAGCATTTGCAGCATCTTATAGGTAATAGCGATGTTTTGTGCGCATTATTCAAACTAATAACACTTCGAAGCGACAATGTGACATTAGATCCAGCCGAGCGACTATTAATTAACACCGCGCATTAAAACTTCATTATGCTAGTGTAAATAGATGCACGTCTCATGTACACACAAGTTCGATGATGGTAAACAGAATTGAAAGTGTCCAGACGATACGCATCGCGTGAACAATTCAAATTTATTTTTGTCACGCGACTCGTTTTGTCAAAAAACACATTTATAAATAAAATTGTATCACGAATCGAAATTACCTGCCTTATACGTAAGTACAGTATTATACTTATTATTGAACGCTAATTGAATAAACAAATTTATTAAATTTAACTGCATGATGTTTTAATTTATGAGAATTATGGTTAAAAAACAAAATCTGTTTATTTGATTAAATTGTGCAGAAAATTGAACCTCGTAAACATAGTTATAAGTTGGCTAACATTTTTTTAAAAATTTTGTGTTGAAAACAAGTGATTTTAATGACATATATTGATTCAAAAGAAAAATCACGGAATGAGAGTGAAATAAAAAAGACTGGCTTTATTATCATCTACACTATTGTCATCCCAACTTACCATCTTTGTTTTTATCCAAGTCGGAAAAATGCAACCTCAGCTTTTTCTCATGTTCACGAACGTAATGCAGAAAATCGGCTAGTGAAATGTCACCGCTCTTATCCGTATCAGATTCTTGCAAGAATTTCTGAAAAAGAGAAATATTAGCCAATTTATTTTTGACATAAGCACTAAAAAAAGCCGGTGTCCCCCATACTAATATAAAAAGAAGGTTACGAAAGGTTACCAACGGTCACCAATATTCTACCAATAAAACATCTGTGCAATGGTTTGATAAATGAATAATTAAATTACTCACGATTTAATTACTCTTTGAACAGCACAGACATTTAAATAAATAAATGTTATGACACAGAATGATGCAACGAGTGCTGATAAGAGTTACTTGCATTCTGACCTAGAGTCAGACAGCCACGGAAAATAGTTTGGAAAGCGGCCGGCTTGTGGGGAAAATCGATAATTCAAGCGCCACCAGCTCAAGGTCGACAGAAGGATTGCACATGTCCGCCGACAAGTTTGGAAGGATATAAAATAGTTTGGACTCAGAAAATATTCCTCAAAAATAAATTGTCCTATAAATATATTTTAGTTGGAAACATTTGTTTCAACTTAATGAACTCAAAAATTTGCAACTTCAAGTACATTTACTGCATTTAGTTACAGTTACAAACTAATTTTTATAACAACATGCTACTATCTACGAAATGGCAAAGATCATCAGACAATATCAAGGTCGAACACATGTTCCCCGGCGAAACTTAGAAATTTAAACACTCCGCCGATTTTTCCCAGTAGATAAATTGAATTTGTGCCAAATAATTCTATTGTATTAAATCTTAAGCCCGCTAAAAATAACCGTACATAATAAATGCAGTAAAAATCTTTGTTTTCAGAAAAGGAATTCATGAGAAGTACGCCCTTCAGCGCAATAATTTTTACAACAATAAAAAATCGATTGCCAGAGCGAGTTGCTGCAACGCACCTCATCTACGCGGTGGCCAGTTATTAGCGCTAGATTTAGATTTCTATTTTAATGAACGCTCCACAGCGGACGTGTGCTTTGTGCCACGAAAGCGGAATTTGCAACCGCAGGCAGGCGTCGCGCCGCGTTGGAAATTCGGCATGTGGATTAGGTTAGGTTCAGCGCTGGGTTACCTGTGCGTATTTTTCATGTACGCCAAACTGGCGTAGGGCGCTCGACAGATCGTGTATGTCAATCTTGCCGTCGCCATCCTGATCCAGGCGTGTAAATAACTTGCCCAGGCGCTCTTCGTCCTCTGCGGGCAGTTCATGCAGGTAATGGGGCGGTTTGCCATTCATGGCATCTCCACCATCCACAGTCGCACCACCGACACTCTCACCACCCCGTTCCGGCATTTTCGCGAAAATTAGACCAGCATTCGCGTTACAGCCTTTAGTACGGAAATGAATTAGATTCTAATATTTGGTAATTCCGGCCTGCGAGCTAGCCGTGCGGGACTTTTGAAAAACCGTTAAGCCAAAATTGTCGCAATGCGACTCTCCGACACGGGTGCGCTCGCGGGTGTAAATGGAATGTCAGCTGTCAGCTGTCAACGAAGGGCGATTGTTATCGTTTATTAATTCTTTTCTCGGGGTGCTAGCGACCTCTTCAAGTAGGTAGCGGAGTATACAGAAAAGCATTAAATGAAAGCGTTTTAATTAATTTTTTTAATTAACCCATTATCAAAACGTATTAAATAAGAGGAGAAAATAACGTAATAAAATAATATAATACAAAAACAAAACATTAATTTTATAAAGTTGTCAATTGTGACAATTGTGGAAATTGATACGAATATTAGATGGCGCCAAGCGTGTGAATTTAATAACTTTATTATTAAAAATTTTAGTTGTACATTTATTATTGCAAATTTATTAATAGATTATCTCAATTAACACTTTTACATTTGCTTACTTTTCTTATTTTTATGAAAAATACTTTCTAGGAAATTCACAGAAAATATGTACGTCTTAATCGTAATATTTTGATTAAACAGTTGTCTTAGATTGTTTTCGTTTTCGCACATAAAAAACGCCACAAATGATTGCTACCCCTGTACCTACACCAATCAACACCCACTTGCAAATATCGATTATGGTTACTGGTGTCAAATACTGATCTTTAATTAAATCAACTAAACTCTCCGGGATATTTACATTCTCATCCACCCAGACAATCGGCATTACTGAAGGCATTACCTTATTTAGCGCAGCAAATGCCGTATGATATTGTCTTAATATGAGGTTGAATTGAACACGTTTGTGTCCAACCATGGGCGATCCAGTGTTCTGAAAATGGCAGTTAAGAGTTGGTAAATTATTTTAAAATTGCATCTTTCATAATTAAATATTTACCGGTTCCATATCAATGTATATTTTGTGGTCGTCTTCAACTGGATGGAGCCCATTAACAGTCTTTGTGTAACTTTCATCGGTAGCCCATAAGAAATGAGGCAAAGAAAGGACAATTGGCGCATCTGAATAAAAAATTAATAATAAATAATGCCAACAATAAAGAGTTAATAAATATGACTAACCGAGACAATTGTACATGTCAGTAAATCCACTCGGATGACAATCTAAGTCACCATCAATGTTTTTGGTTTTTTTGATGCAATAACATTCATTTTCGGGACGACTCCAATCCACAGATGCCTGTGTTAAGGTACTACGGTATCCGGGAATATCTTCATATTCAATTTCATCTGTGAACGCTAATTCAACAGTTCTACAATTAAAACAGAAAATTAAAAAAACACATTAAAACCACTAAAGTTTAATATTACCTGCATATATCCGTGTTGAAAATAGTAAAAATAGAATCCTTATCGTTGTGTGGACCATAAATGGTGGAATCAGTACCTTTGACCTCATTACAGTTGTTGTCGTCATTCCAGAAAGAAGTGCGTTCTTTACCGTCATACCTAACGATGTCTCCCAATAGTTTAATATCATTCACACCATTCTCGATTTCAAAAGTTCTCGGCTCAGTAATATTTTTATGTTGAAAGAACGAAAATGAAATCTCTCTAGTAGTTTCATCCACATCCATAGTCGGTGTATTCTTTAATCGAATTATGGCACAAACAAATTTTGCAGCCGAATTCAAATTATCCTGCTTGCAGAATTTATAACCCCTGAATGAGTACTCCCCAATTGTAACTGTATGAAATATATCCCCAGGATTTACACCAAAAGCCAATGGGTAACCCTTTTCGACTATACCAAGTATGAATGAGCCAATAAAACCTAAATCACCAACGAGGTTGTCGAATATTTGAAACACTGACTAAAGTTGAAGAAAAACAAGTTAGAAACAGATAATACAGGTAATAATAGTGCACAAACTTACTATTAGTGGAGCGTTCAGAACTGTCATTTCCTGGCTTTCCTCTACCTCAGAATAATCTGGTAAAAATTCATGATGTTTCTTGATGTTGAACTTAATTGTATTATCAGACTGGTGCTCAATGTTAACTTTTTCAAAACCTTTGCTATTGGCAAAAATTAAACGTAAATATAATAAAAACTTAAATTGTTTATTGATATATATGTTACCTGTATACGATTGGTCCAACCTCAGTTACATTAGGATACGCAATACCATTCATAACATCTTCAATATTATTAATTTGGAAAAAAACGATGGAAAAATTTAGATTAAAAGGCAATTTTTCAAAACGTTCATATTGCTCAGAATCCGTATCGTCCAAAATGACATTCTATAAATAAATCCAATAAGGAAAACGCTCATTTTTCAAATATAAATTGTTTATTATACCTCGTCAATTTGATCATCTACAACGTTTGGAAGAACTGCGAAGCCCAGGACAGCAGCAATGACAACCAACACTACACCAAGATTGGCGCCCACAATTAGCCCAATTTTCATGTTGCACTTGCACCCCATTTTAAAAATATTTGAGAAAACTTTCGGCCGCCAAAATTTCGTCACCGTGTGCGGTGACGACTGATCGGCACAAACTGAGTGCTCTCGTTTGATTGATGCTGTTTTGTACAATCCTGTCAAGTTTTTCTAAGCTTATCTAATACAAAAGAATCAAGTAAGAATAAAAAATATGAACAATGTTCAAATCGTTGATCACACTTGATTGCAAGATAATAGTTATCTTTGTTGAAATGAATAGATATTTGGTTGTGTAATGTTATTTACAGATTGGCAAACAAATATATTGAGTTAAACAAGGAAACGACCAAATGCAGAATATATATTTTTGGGTGTTAAGTTAGGTTATGTTATAGTAAGGTCTTTAACCATAAAGGAAACATCAATAAAGGTGAATTCTTACTTGACACGAATGACACGAATGATTGTTACACTGCGAAGTAATATGATTCCATCCTTCATTCGTATCAAGTTAAAAACAAGTTATTTTTTATTTTAAAATATTATACACTATCACTTTTATTGCGATCAACTTCTGAATCGAAAACAGTTTTGATGGCGCATATCGATAACGAGCTGTCATTATTGATGCTCTGAGGCAGATTAGCGCGGAATTTGACCACAAAAGAATTACATTAGGCTGATAAATATTGATGTTTATCGGCTCATTGTTATCAGCATTTTTTTGCGTTGCTGCCATGTGTTTCTATGATGATTTTGGTGTCCATTTGTAGCTATGATAATGAACTTGAGATTGACTGCTTCTTTATCTGAGCTTAATTTTTCATTGTTATTAATATCCTGTTACAATAATTGGCTTTTTTATTTACATCACACCATTTAGTAATATACATTTATGACGCATGATGATAAGCGTTGAATTTGAATCGGATGTTGTTTTTAGGTATAACGAGATATGTTACTACCTCATGTAATTAAGTAGGTAATATTTACTACTTATTGCTTGTAATTTAGGACGAAATTGCAAAACATTCAACTTTGAATTAATATTTTTCTAATAATGGAATATTTATGCTGTGTTTATCTACATTTATCTTTAAAATAAATTAAGTTAGCACTCAAAGTACAATCGTCTACAATATGAACCTCCATCAATAACACGACGTTAAAATTGATTGATGAAGGGCGTCTAAAAAGTGAGGTTTATTTAAGATATTCAAGTACCTGTCGTGGTATCGCTTAAAATATAAGATGTTTGTTTTACAATTGATTGTGATAATGAAAAAGCGGAAAGTACAAATTATAAATGCAACTTCGCATTTATTGCTTATCTATAAAAGTGTTTATGAAAACGCCAACTGCAAAAATGTTTGCATCCTCTAATAAATCCATGCCTAATCCTCACTTCGATGAAAAAGTTATATGATACTAATCCTTTTATGATATTGTGACATTTGACACACTAATAAATAAGTTTTGCAAAGATTAAATGGAGAGATGTAAAATATAATGCTCCGTCATCAATTACACTTCATCTCAATTGCACATTTATCGATGGTGTAAGATTAATTGAAAATCTTTTTAAAGAATACATAATAACTTATCAAATATAATAATTAAATTGGAATTTACATTTATGTCGTAAGAATTTATTCTTGTGTAACATAACTAATTAAATTCTATATAACGTAGTACCGATTTTGAAATATAATTAATAGATGATAAATTGTATAATGGTGCTTCACTTTTGAAAGCGATTTATTGATCAAAAGCGGTTTCCAAAGTAATGTGCAACTTCTTTATCTCAAAGTACTACTAGTCAGCGTTTTAATATCTATTTATTTTAAAATGTTGAGATAAATCAGATACAAATCAAAGGTTTGCGAAATGAAATTATCAGAAATTCAATAGTTTAGGTTAACAACATGTTTATCACAACAAATATTTAAGGTAGCTTAATACTGTCACTGGAAACTACCACTTACTAGCTTTATATAGAAATTATCTCAAATCATAATTGATTACGTCTGTTTCCTGTCTCCTAAAATCAAATATTTACGAACATTATATCGCGTTGTTGTTATGAGTAAGGCAGGCGAGTTTTCTAATGGAAACTAGAGACCACCTTGCAATTTGGTCCGCAGGAAGGAATAGTTAACAACGCCTGCCTTCCCGCGACTAACCGCATTCCGATAGTACACCGGGAAAGTTAAACCCCACTCCTTCATCCTAACCTGCGTGTAACTACCTCCTGCATAATCCCTGCCGGAGGTACTTCCCCCACTACTATTTGCTGGTCGGCCGCAGGTATATATGGGCCACCAACACTGCGCCCCGCAATAATTCGTGACTAATTCGTCCATCAGGGCCTTAGGTTCTTTCCACTTTCTTACCACTTTCATCTAACTATTCGATTCGTAATACAAGTAGCATTTGGTTTTATTTATATACACAATGACATCAACTATGATTTATTATTCAAATTAAGTTTACTAAGCACAAAAGTACCGACACTTCCAAGCAACAGTACCACACCGACGCCCAGTAAACCCCATTTAACTCCTTCAATCATTACTAGATCATCAAAATATGCGTCGTTTAGATAATCTACAGTAACATCGGGAATTTCCATCGACTGTAAAGTAAATACATTAGTCAATTCAATTTAAAAACAATAATGAAATAAAATTTTACTTCTTCAACCCAAAACAGCGGCATCATGAAAGGCACAATCTCTTCAGCAAATCCTGTGACTTTACGCAGCCAAATGTTGTATTGAGTCTTCTTGGAAACTCGTAGAACCGCACCAGAATTCTATACCAAGCAAATAATTTAATATAAACAATCTATTTTTATTTCTTCGTTAGAATACTAACCGATTGAATGTCAATATAACTGACATCTTTTTCAATAACGGGCGAAAATTGTAAACGTTCTGCGTTTTCCGGATCTGTGTAGAGGAAGTGGGGTTGTGATGATATTAGCGGTATTCCATTTAAGCAATTGTATAAATTCAAAAACCCAGTATTAGCGCAATTGTTCTCATCTTCGATACAAAAACATTTGTTTACGCCATTCTCAGGCGTATATTGAAAATTTTCGCTTTTTAGAATCAAGCGATTACCATCTATCTCTTTTAGATCAACTTCTTCAGTAAATGCATAATCTAGAGACCTTTAAACAAAAATACGTTCAATAGATATATAATATTATTTTAATATTTTGCTTTGTTTAATTATATGTTACCTGCAGAGATCATTGTTATAAACAGATAGTCCTTCATCAACATCCAAGTCAGGATTGAATGTGTGGGAATCTGTCCCACGAATTGAATTGCAATAATTGTCATCATCTAGCTTTGGCCAAACATTAATGTGTTCTGCAGCGTTAATAGTTTTCAGTTGACCTTGCTTGTAAATATCTTTAGCTCCTCCATACATTTCATAAGTATTTTCTTTATAAGTTTGCTCCTATATAATCAACCACATCATTTAAAGTTCTTATTATTTAGCACGATGTTAATAAATTACTTACTGGTTTAAAAACGAAAAAATTGTATCCGCTTGAAGTTGCACTTTTTTTAAAACGAGGATTTTCATTTAATTTCTCAAGAATTACATTACGTAGGGTTACTGCACCAGTTGAACCAAGATTTTCTGTTAATCCCATCTCGTAACCTTTGAAGAGAAGGTTTTCTATTTTGATGCGATGAAATAAACCATCGTTATCAGTATCAGCGAAGACAGACTGGAAGTCACCTTTTACTAATTCCATTAAATTAGTGCCTTCAACATACATTAAAGACATCTGAAATTAAAGATTTGAGTTACAATTTATTCCAAAGCATACAAGAAATACTTACGTATTTTAAGACGTTTAAAGTGACAAATGAGTCTGTTTCCTTTATTGTGGAAGATGGATCCAATTCAAATGATACCAATTCGTCGTAAGTGAACGTGTCCGATGTCGCATCATAAATGATTTTATCTTTGCGTCTTGTTTGTCTTTAAATAGAAATTGGTGCGTTTTTATAAGGTAGGTTTATAAAAATTTTATGTGACTTACTTGTAAATTATTGGACCGCGTTCTTCCACACTTGCATTTTGGCCTGCTGCTATTCCACCGGCGTTCTTCACGTCAAAGAAATAAATTTTGGTAGTAACATCGTAAGGAGGTGTCTCCCAGTTTCTGTATATCTCTGATAATTCCAAACGTACATTCTAAAAAATAATAGTATTTTATCTTATATGTTGAATTGGCAATGCTTGTTTTGAATTTAAAACACTTACATCTTTTAATTTGTCTTCAGTGATATCTGGCAAAACTTTAAAACCCAAAACACCACCAAGAATAATTGCCACCACTCCAGTAATGGCTCCTGCAATAACTAGTGGTAACATTAACCCCATTTTGATTGAACAATTGATTGGTCTACACGGTTGTTTCTCAGCGACTGTTGCTATACAAAATATCGGTGTAATTCGAGTTCATCTGCAAAACTTACATGATTTATAGCTGCAATAAATACCTTTCAATAAATTTATTACACAATTAAAATAATCTCCAGCTGCATCTTTATGGAGACTTATTTTTATACTTACTTGGTATACTTACTTATATATATATATTAATTAGCGTAAGATCTAAAGTATATTGTTATGTGTATTAACTAGTATACTGATAATCCACTAAGATTGACTAGGAATGTTGCTGTCAATAGTAAACAGCTTAAGCCGACTCATTGATATCCCTTTCTATAGTAACTGAAGTTAATTATTATGACCTGAGCATTTTAAACTTATCTATCTTTATCTTATCTAAGACATTTTTCTGGAGGATATTTTACATAGGTACTTGTAGTGATGATTAAAATACGTTTGTCATGGCACTACTATAAGTAGTTGTTACAATTTTGTATTAGATATTAAAGAAAAACAGCACATATAAAATTATATTGATGTACATTCTTTGAATTTAAAATAATATGTTAACTTATTTTCGAAATATTTAACCTGTCACTTATATTACTATAAGTTTTCAAAGAGCTATATATAATATTGGTTGTATTAATCATAAATCTTTATTGGATGGATCAATGGAGGATGTAATATAATTTAATCCATTATAAGTATCGATTGAAATAAACAATAATTATGATAATCACATAATCATCAAGCACACTTATAGTCCATGCATTTTAGATACAAAATACATGTTATTCAGAATCGTGTAAACTTATATCCGGTTTTACTGATTGCATATGTAAATTCATCATTTTCCTCTGTTGGTCGCAAAGGTTTGCCTTGATTATTTGTTTGGACTACTGCAGGTTTTCTGGTAGTGCTTGGACTTTTCGTAGTAACAACAGCAACCTTTGTTGGTGATTTGGTAATAATTTTACTAATCTTTGTGGTTTTTAATGTTGATTTTTGAGTTGAAGTCGCTGTTGCTGGTTTAGTGACTTTAACGCGTTTAGTCGTTGATGGCTTTGTTGTTCGGATAATTTTTGTGGTTGTAGTTGATTCATCAGTAACATCTATTGTTTCAGCGGTGGTTGGGGGCACGGTTGATGTTTTCCAACTAAATTGAGGATAATAATTGACAGTTGGCAGTGGTTTTTCATGAATTTCTTCAGATGATATTCTCAATACACCCGGTTTGAAACAACCTTCAAGGAATGTACTTGCATATTGTTTATCTCTGCAATAGAGACCGTACACCACCCATGCGTTAAATCCATCTCCAGAAAGACGCTTATGTTCTCTATAAACACGACGAGCGCAAATCACATCATCTTCAATATCATCGTTTCGTAAATCATCGCAGGAAACGCCACATGCGTATCCTGGCGGCGAACACCAAAACAGTTGACTAATCTAGATAGAAAGAGATAAGCGTGATAATTATGCAACGAATAAAATGCTTTAATTGCATTAGCACGATGTACTAATCATGCTGATTTGTTTAATTTGAAATTTTCTTCAAGCATAAAATATTGTCATAATAATAATTAACTACATATTTAATCTAGTTAAGTTAATACTTAATATTTACCTGCAACAAACCATGGTCACCGCTACCATGATTAATCGCGGATGTATTGTATTCAGATTCGTGTCTTGCGATGCACACCCAAGTTGCGAGTTGATTGTCTGGAATCTCATGCACATCGCGCAATTCTCTCGCCAATTCGCACCGCTCGTACACTTTGCCATGAATTGCAATTACGCATCCTGCTACTATAATATACACGGTGATTAACGTTTTGAAATCCATTACATTAACCGGTGTCTTTACTTAACGATCTGCTACAAGACTGAAACCATCTCCGACGTTCTACAGACTTTTAAACTCACAAAGTCTTCTCGTTTACCATAATAAGAGAAAATAAATTAACGATTTCTTGCCGTGTGCATCTCTACTATGTTGAGATCCGATAGATAGCGATCATGCTTCGTTAGCTGCGTTCTCATCTTTGCAGGTAATAATGTAATCTACAAACAGGTTGTATGTAAAATATTCGAACGGTTTGAATGATTGGAACCTTCGAGGAGGAACACATTGCGAGAGTGGAATCATCTGCCCCAGGGGGTTCACAATATTGAATGTTTGCTCAATATATTTTATGAGTTATGTGTAAACGTTATAATAATATTGCTACTTTATTACAACGACACGCTTAATGATGTAGAAGAGTAGATTTTGATGAGATCGCTACGGGATGTGAGAATTCTGTTTTCATAATAATACTATTTTGGTCATAAGAATCAGGAAACAAGTGACATTTTTGTTTCGTAAAGTAAATAAAATTTACATTTTTAAATCGTTTGATTTTATTTGTTAACAGGCGTACGGATGTATCACTTCACAAATCAAGCCTTGAAGTTAAGAAGTTAATGAATTCTTGTGGCTTGTAGTGCGACATTCGAGTTTTTTTTAGATAAATTATTCAGATTTACGCAATTTTACGATAAAAATAAATTTAACGTAATTTAAACGTTGATTTGTGTGAATTTAAATATATTTATACTTAAAGGGCAAGTTTGTAGCAAGGACGAAGCCTGAAAAACATTGAAAACGAATATTCGTGATTGTAATAATAAACTCGTGGTTAGACAACCAAATATACGCATATTTTGTACATATGATCAGAAGTAACCTATTCAAATAAGTAAAAAAGCAATAAATGTCATAACATAAGAAGCCTACTAAATGTTAATCATTTGCTCTATTGCAACCACTAACTAGTAATTTGGATCTATTCCAAATAAATATCCAATTGATAGTGATAATGAAGTCCTATTGAAGCTGAAAGCACACTTCTACCAAGATGTTACGAAGGTGCACTGCAAGACATCATAGCTCACTTAGATTATTCTCAACAGCAAAAATATGTTTTGCTGAAAATGAGGCAAGCAACAAAATTCAATTAATCCATCAGGTACCTCCCACAAGTGCCAGAGTGGTAATATGCGGTGGTGGTGTAATGGGGGCATCTGTTGCCTATCATCTAGCAAAATTAGGATGGGGATCTGAAACTGTACTAATTGAACAGAATAGGTAATCAAATGGTTGTGTTTGTCTTTCGATTTTTATTTACACAATTCTAGAATTGGAGGAGGCACCACATGGCACTCCTCTGGACTTATTGGGGTTTTCAAACCAAGTTTAGCTCAAGTGCAGCTCACACAATCCAGTATAGAATTATATCAAGAATTAGAAAAGAAAGGATTGTCAACTGGTTGGAAACAAAATGGAAGTTTGAATTTGGCAAGAACTAGAGATAGAATGACTGTATTCAGGAGAATGAAATCTCAATCAGTGTAAGTTATAATTTTAAAATTAAACACTAATATAATAATACACTTTTTCTTTTCTAAAGTTCTTGGAATATTGAATGTGATTTATTAACACCAGAAGAATGCAAGGAAAAGTGTCCACTAATAAATATTGATGACATTGTTGGTGGTTTGTGGATACCTGGAGATGGTGTTGGGGATCCCTACAAAATTTGTTTGTCTATTTTGGGTGAAGCACAAAAACAAGGTAATAATTTCACAGCTGGATATGATTTATTTATTTTCAAACTTAAAACTCTTTTTCTTTAAGGAGTAAAAGTAATTGAGAATTGTAGTCTCAAGTCAATTAATCAAACAAATGGAGTGGTATCAAGTGTAGAGACTGATTTAGGCAACATAAAATGTGAGTTTTTTGTCAATTGTGCTGGGTTCTGGGCCAGAGGAGTGGGACAACTTTCAGAACCATTTGTTAAAGTTCCTTTACATGCAGTAGAGCATTATTATTTACACACAAAACCAATTCCTGGATTAGATCCTGAAACACCAGGTAAATATTCATCATCTTTATAAATGCAGACATTAACTACAACAGCTTTTAAATCTTATAGTAATACGTGATCAAGATGGTCATATTTACATTCGCGAAAATAATGGTCGTTTTCTTGCTGGGGGGTTTGAACCTATAGCGAAACCAGCTTTTGAGGATGGCAAAATTCCTGGTAATAAAAATTGTGATCCTGAACGTAATAAATGATATTTTTGTGAATTGTTTCCATAAATTTTCTGCTCAGCTAGCAGTAAAGAGAGATACTTACCAGAAGATTGGGACCACTTCCACGTTTTATTTGAGCAGCTGCTACACCGTGTTCCAAGTTTGGGTTCAGCTGTTTTGGACCGTCTATGTAATGGCCCAGAGGCTTTCAGTCCTGATTGCAAATGGATAGTTGGGGAAGCACCTGAAGTAAAATTAATTGCACATAGTTTGCTAGATAATTATATTACATAATTATTAATTTTTAGATCCGCAATTATTTGATAGCAGCGGGCATGAAAACTATTGGCATATCAGCAGCGGGCGGAGTTGGATTAGCTACTGCCGAAACGATTGTTAATCGGGAAACTTCATTCGACATGTATGAAATTGAAGTGTCGCGTTTTCTAGGTCTGCACAACAATCGTAAATTTCTACGCGATCGCGTCACTGAGGTTCCCGGTTTGCATTACGGTCTTTTATATCCATTTCACGAATTTCAGACGGGCCGGAACTTGCGAATGTCTCCGGTTTATCCGAAATTGCGTGAAGCAGGTGCTGTTTTTGGACAAGTAATGGGCTACGAACGACCTACATGGTTTGGACCAAAACAAACTGATAGTGAGTATCGCTCGCATGCATGGAAAATGTGTTCTTGCACTAACAGTTTTCTTTTCATGCATTCGTTTGTGTGCTTTTTTCATTAACAAGTAAGTGTTACTTTCTGTTAATCACACGTATGTGGATTGCTTACTATCTTTCAAAAAATAGTTACAATAAGATTGCTTATGCAATACTTTTTAAGATCGGGAAGCTCAAGATTGGTCTACGCCCTACAGAATAGCATATACAAATACATTTGGTAAACCTCCTTGGTTTGATTATGTCGCTGATGAATACGCAGCCTGCAGGGAAACGATTGGTATCAGCGACTATTCGTCATTCACAAAAATTGACTTATGGGTAAGTCTGAACCACTTCTATAAAATGTAGTTAAGTGAAAGTAATCGTCTTGTCTTAGTCTAAGGGCGATGAAGTCGTCAAAGCTTTGCAATTCGTTTGTTCAAACGATGTGGATGTTCCAATCGGTAGTATAATCCACACTGGTATGCAAAACAAATATGGCGGCTATGAAAATGATTGTTCCCTCGCAAGAATCTCAGAAAATCAGTAAGTTAACTACCCATGTTTCTCTAGACTTTTTCTTTATTATTCTATCGCTAGTTACATGATGATTGCGCCAACAATCCAGCAGACTCGTTGTAAAGTCTGGCTACAAAAACATCTTCCATCGACAGTTGCCCTGTCTGATGTAACCAGTATGTTTACATCGCTTTGTATCATGGGTCCTTTTACGCGCACACTACTAGCGGAGCACACGGACACCGATTTAAGTCCGAAAAACTTCCCGTTCTTTACTTTCAAAATGCTTGACGTTGGATTAGCAAATGGAATACGAACATTCAATCTTACGCACACCGGAGAGTTGGGGTATGTTATGTACATCCCCAACGAATTTGCTCTCCATGTCTATTCGAGGCTAATTGAATCGGGACAAAAGTATGGAATGAAACACGCAGGTTACTACGCAACGAGAGCGTTGCGAGTAGAGAAATTCTACGCATTCTGGGGCCAGGATTTGGATACTAAGACGACTCCACTTGAATGTGGACGTGCATGGCGGGTTAAATTTGACGTAAATAAATAATGATACTTGTGGTACATCATTTAAACTTAAAATTACAGAAAGGCGTTGATTTTATTGGCCGAGATGCGTTACTGAAACAACGCGAGGAAGGCGTGAAACGAATGTATGTTCAGTTGTTGCTTGAGGATCATGATTTCGAAACGGATCTTTGGCCATGGGGTAGCGAGCCCATTTACAGGAATGGAAAATATGTTGGCGTAGTAACGACGGCTGGTTATGGCTTCACGTTCAAAAAACAAGTATATTCTTACTCGACGAATTTACTCTATATTGAGACAACTAATTATCATGGTCACTTTTGTAGGTATGCCTCGGATTCATCGAGAATTATGACGGCAGAGGCAATAAACAGCGCGTGACTAATGAGTATGTTCTGTCTGGTGATTATGAAGTCGATATTGGTGGAATAAGGTATATTTTTAACCCTCAATTGCTCGGGCCAGTGATTTAAATCTTTAATGTAAAATAGATATAATGCCAAAGTGAATTTGCACTCGCCGAATCTTCCGACTAAATTCCCCGACGTAGAAAGAGAAGCGTATCAAGCCACTAGGGATAAAAACGACGACTCACTGGTTGTGACAGCAATTAAACGTAAGAATTAATCGTTCCGCTTCCGTGCAACATGAAACAAGACAATAATTTGGTGAGTAAATGTTACATAATGATTACATAAGTGATTACATTTTCCGTGCACGTGCTGCTGCAACGTTTTCGTCAATTTATAACTACATACATTATGTCAAATATATTACTGTTAATTAAATGTGATTTTCCATATATATTTTGTGCAGAGTCTGATATTACTTATTTAAATATATAATATGTTTTAAATAATAAACAATATGATTGTTGATTAGTCCCACAATGCTAGAATTGCTATTAGCAATCTTTTTTTATAATATTTAATTTGCAGTTACTAAACTGTCTCTATGGGATTTATCTATATGGCTTAAATCCAGGATAAAATTGATATTAGGAGTCTATTTATCTGAACGGATGGAAACCGAGGACGAGTTTACAATGAAATTAAATATATTTTATTAGTCTAATATAATTGGAACGATAATGTTGTACGCTTTCGAATATTCTACATGTTCTAATGTGCTCAAAATGGTCTATAATCCTTGTATTCTACCTTTTCAACAGATCAATATCCGCGATAATTGTATAAACGATAGAACACAGGTTTGAAAAGTGCAACATGCGTACATCGTTGCCACATGTTGCTTTCGAAGGTTTGTCAGTTGCCTTCGCTTTTGCGTTTCCGTTTCTCTACCGCAGCGCATACGCTGTGGTTTGTTTATCATACGTCAAAGAACTTTAGTCTATTTGTGTTCAGCGTTATCTTTAAGTGCAATTTTTATTTACAAACTAAAATGGTTTCCTTGTCCACGGTCAATATAAGTGCCCCATTATCAAAGTCCTCTTAATAACACATTATTTTTAGATGTTTTTTTACATCTGTTTGTTAATTTTTGTACTTCCTGGTTCATCATGGGCTCGATTAGCAGAAGAAGAACCACTAAATGATGACCGGTGCCAACCAATGGAATATCATTGTTACCATAGACCTCCAGATGAATGTCCTCCACTGAATGCCACATCAAGATGCAAAGTTGATGACAAATGCAAATTTGCTGTGCTCTGTTGTAATCTTTCATTAGAGCAGATCAAAGATGAATTCACTCGTGCAAGTAAACATTGTCAAAAACTTTCAAGTGTGTGTGTGTTGTATTCTATAAATATTTTTAGATATTAATCTTGCCAATCACAGAATTCAGGCAATCCACATTCGGAATGCCAGTATTCAGTCCTTGAATCTGAATGAATTGAAATCCTGGAGAACATTAACATCATTATCTATAACTGATGGAAATATTGGCAATGTCACTGGGGAATTTGGCAAGCATTCAAGTGTTGCTTGTCTGAATATGTCTTCCAATGGGATAACCAACTTTGAAAATAGATCATTGGTCAATCTATACAACATGACCATGCTGGATTTGTCTCATAATAATTTATCAAATGTGCCTAGGTTTAAGAAAGATGGGGATTTTACACTTGATATTTCCAATAATGCCCCAATGTTTTGTACTAATCTGTATGAAATCAAAAATGGCAGGCCTGAAATTCAATTTAACAATTACAACAACACCAAATGCTGTGTGACAAATAATTTTCATTGGTTCAACAGTACAGATTTTATTAGTTTGGAAGAAGTGGAAAGAATTTATCAGGTATGCAATATTTTATCTTTTGCTTGATAGTAAAAATTAGAAAAAAGATAGAGGTGGATGAAAACATATAAATATTTTTTGTGTCTGTGAAGTACACGAAAAAAGCAATGATTAACGATCTATGATTTCGTATCTATATCTAAGAAAAAAATCTGTGCGTAATGAAATCTCAGTAAGTTTGATATACCGACATTGTCGTACGATATATATTATTTGACGCACGATGCACGGTTTATTCAAACGAAAAATCTTTCGATTAAAGTTCACACACGTGCGGGACTCTATTATTTCACCATCTAATCATGTTAATATTTCATGTATACTCTACCTAATTCATTTAATATTGCGTCACTGAATTGTTTCAGATAAGACAAAATTGCACGAAAAACTGTAAATGCGAACCGCACCGCTGGCATTATCTCCCTGGCCAACCAACGATCATTTCTGTAAAAGTTGATTGCTCCAAGCAAAACTTTACGGAAATGCCAACACCTTTGCCGCAAAATGCGATCTCTTTAAATATATCATACAATAATGTAATGGCATAGGATCTGATTTGGTAACACAGGTATTACAGTCACTTTATTTATAGATATCTTCTTTAGAATCGTTCAGCAGCGATGATACATATAAAAGTGTACGAGAACTGTACGCTGACAACAATGAAATAACTTCAATTTTGCCTTTGGAAGGGACCAATTTCATAAGTAACTTTGCGTTGTTGCGCTTGAAGCACAATAAATTAAAATCGGTGAGTGCATTCAAGTGTCCAATCGATTTATAATCCCGTGTTGAAGTGAATGCAATTTAATTATTTTTTGTCCTCAGATACCAACATATCTGCTCACGAATATATTTGATCGCAATTATATATCGCGGCATGTGTATTTGGGCCAAAACTATTTACAATGCGACTGCAACACCGCTAAAGTACTTAAGGTAGCAGACAGTTTTTTATTCGTTCATTGTGCATTCACTCATCAACTATTTGATTACGCATTTCCGTAGGTATGGTTATTAACCAAACAAAAGCACGTTCTTGACTTCGACGAGATTTACTGTGAGAACATGAACGTCAAAGTGATTGACTTGAACGCGTCGACGTTGTGCCAAAGTCAACATGACTGGACTGACTACATTTACTACATCATCACGCTGGAAGTGTTTCTGCTAGTCGGTCTGATTGCTAAAGTCTTTTATGACTACTGGGTATTCAAAACCGCTGGTTATTTGCCATGGCCAGCGAGCAAGATGCCGAAATTACCCTGCGACTGGCTTTGTGAGTGAGCCGTCCAATGCCCCCTGCATCCGTGCCTTATTTTTAAAACCCTTTTATCTACTTTATATGTGAATGGTTGTGATATATTTTATTTACGCTAGATTCGGGTCCGCGCGCGTCTTGCGTCTCCATCCGACGTGCGGATAGAGACGTTTGCCATCGATGTGCCTGATATATATATACCTATATACGAAATTATCGACGTGCCTTAATTGTTTAAAAGTACTACGTAGTTGTTTACGTAAGATATGTATTGTAAGCACATTATATTTATGTGCCCAGCGGCAAATAAGATGAAGCGTGAAATTACACCTGAATATGGATAAACACGTATTATCTAGATGTGTTGTCATGGTTATTGTTTTCTTTTGTAATGACATATTCCTCGCAAAATCCTCGGGTTCCTGCTCGATGTGAAGTCTCGCGTGATCAGAGAAACCGATATCTCGTGTGCGATTAAATCATAAAACCGCAGGCGCGAACGAATATCTTAATATATCCCATAATAAGTGCCTTTGAAATATATTCTAGGTCGAACTTCAAGAGTCTACAAACGAAAAATATAATTATATTTATAAATTACTCTTCAAATGAATGGTGACAAACATACCATGACATATAAATAGTTTTATCAATTTTATCTTCGTTTGGATAGTATGCTGATTTGTGGGCAGGTATATTGATTCACTATATTGACAATTTTAAAGAATCATAATATGAGTACCTTTATTTGTCGTTGTCTCAATTATTGCACAATATGTTATTGGATATTGTACCAGGAAGATCATTGGGTTATTAGTTTTAATCTTTTATAATTATTATGTATTTCCCATTCATTAATTTACTGTAGAAATATCTCTAGTGCCTTTATCTATTCAAAAACTTCAAATCATTCTGATTTACCATCTTTCAAAGATTTATCTAACGCATGATTACTGTATTTTGAAGCGTACTTCCCAATTTATTCGGTTATGCAACAAGATATAGTTGCGAACATGTTGAAAATAGTCATTTATAAATATAACTATTAGTATAACGTCCTTAAAATAATTAAGAATCGCGACAATGCAAAAATTGCGCTATCATACACTGTATCTGGATTTGAGAAACACGTGAATATCAAGTGGGTGAATTAATTTCGATATGCTTGACTGTTCTCTCGTCTAATCAAAGCGCGAGAGGGAAACGCTCGTCGAGTATCTCCATTTGAATACAAAGTGTGAACGCCTTATCAATTGCGATCTTAAGCACTTTAAAAAAATGATTTGTGGTGGAGCGAATCAAGTCTCATATTTAATATTTAGTGAAGCGGCGCAACAGAGCCAGTGAACGTCCACCTTCCAAGCGCGCGAGAAGCAACAAAGCGCGGTGTTTACAAATCTCGTTACACTGCGAACAATTTCACCTGTCGGAACTCGGTCCCCGAACGGCCAGACACTTCCACGATGGGTTTCGGCAAAGGCACCAAGGAAGAGGCAGAGAGCACCACCGATATAAATTATCTCCAGCCGAAACGTGAGTGCATTTATGTTATTTTATTTATACCTGCTTTAAATGTTGCAATTGCACTGAATTTGTTCTCCGGCGATGCGGATAAAGCTATAAACAGGTAGATGTGTGCGAACCGGTATTGCACAAAAGCGCACGCCGCAAATTTCTCAAATCCGGTTAGCATTGAAAATTAACTTTAATTTTATTTACACGTGATAGTTTTTTCCGATAAATTTGCGGTAGAGGTTGAATATTTTAAAGCCAAGTAGGTACATGCGCACCGCACTACCTGTCAGTAGAGTTAGTTATTGTTTTTGTTATTTAGTCATCAGGTGTGTTACGATAATAAGTGACGATAATATCTAGCCGTACATAACGGCTTTCGTTGTGACGCATGAAGAAAGTTTTAAAATTGTTTTTCGTTTCGAAAGTTTTCAAAGTTTTTCAAACGCGCGCGCGTTCGCCGCAAAGCACCAAATTTCTCGAGATGTAAGCTTCGTAAACTTCTAATTTTGAATTTTATAACAATAACAAAACAGGCAAGCACCGGCACTTTTATTACACTTTAATTCGATTGAAATTATTTAACCTGAATAAAAGTCATAAACGCATTCATTGCCGAGCATGAATGAGCGTTGATGATCATCAAACAATTAATGAAACATTTATTTAATAAACGGGTACGTAAACAAATTTGTGCGGATTGCTTGCTTATTTAATAGTTATATAAGCAAAACATAATAAATTACTACACAGGTTTAAAAAATATGTAAATTTTATAAAATTACAAATAACTTTCTATATCGGATGTCTGTGTTTGCTTCCTACATTCTGTTTACAAATAAATTAGCATCAACTCAATATATTAGTCCATAGCTAGCCTTATTAGTAAATAAATACAGCAGCATTACATATTTCAATTCCAAGAACTTCTTAAATGTCGTGCTCACTGCGTATGGTTAAAAGAAGAAAACTTTCCATCGTCGTCAGCCGACGCTTTTCATTGACATGTGTGCGTTAACACATCACATCAATAAATTAATGCGGCCACATCCAAATTATATAAACATTTAATTCCTTTGGTCAATCCGGAAATTTAATTAGTATTCTTCGCCTGTCTCAAGATGAGTTGAGTTAACTAATCAGACAACTGTGTTACTATGTAACCTTCCACTGAAGTACACACGTATTATGTTAGTGTACCAATGTCATTGTCTTATTTATTTTTTTCCACATTCCAAGACACAGGAACGTGCCCAATGACACAGTCACCTTCCTAATAAATATCCAAACAACCGTGTTTTAAAATATTCCTTATTGTCTGGCAATGAAGTACATAAACAACAAAAATCAATTACTTTTTTTGTTTGCACACGTTTCTCGCGAATAATGCAATGTATGTAAGTACCTGACAGCAGGTACACTACATGTACGTGGTATATTTTTATTACAACATAAAGTTTTTTGACGTTTTTGTTAACTTCAAGGATGTGATAAGAAATTTGCCATGTCGTATTACCTCCATATAAGTGTCTACAACTTACCGGACATTCTTTAATTCGTTAGCGTTATTATAATGTTTTTCGTTTAGCGAATTTATTTTAAGTTGCTAAATTCTTTGAAAATGTGATTCACAATATTTAAATTTAGCATCTCAGGATAAAATGGGTTTTTAACTTTATTGACTTTGTATTGCGGTTGCGTCTGTTGTCGGTATGGGGAATGCGTGTTTTGCATAAATTAAAAATTAACATATCTATTTAAATGATCAGTTTATTATTACATAATGATAATTACAGTAAAGTGGCATGTTGGGAAATTCAATTTTTATAGTATTGAAAAAAGTACAAAATGTCACACTAATAGATAATTGCTAAATTATAGAATTCTAATCATAGTTTAGGCGTACTTAAGTGGTAGTTATTTTAATGGTTTAAATGAGTGACATTAAACTTGAAATAGCTAACGAGATCACATTTCTCAAAGATTTTATTTGTTTCTGAGTTTTAAAAACAGGTTTTCATGTAGGTATTATATTTCACTTTATATGAATCATAATTTTTTAGCGAACTTTATTTAAATTTATTCACGCTTGATAATTCTTGAAAAGCTATGTGGGTTTTGCAATTCAAAATTATAATTCTTACATTTGTGACGATGTCGCATTGTTCTGAGCGATTGAGATCAGTAAAATTTGGCCAAAATGCTTTCCAATTTTCGATCAATTACAAAATTACAAAAAAATTACAAAATTATTGCCACATTGTTATATTAATACCTGAAATTATATTTTCAAAACACGTCAATAATAATTATATCGCAACCTTATTATTAAGTGAAGTATATTGCTAAATATTTTTGATGGAAAATTCGAATTGTCTGCTTGACTAGTTTTTCTTCAACAATAACTTGTGGCATTTTATCATTTACCGTAAAAACGACAACACAGAAAAAAATTTGTTGTGCAAATAGTTGAAGTGATTGTGCAAATAGTTTGTATTGCAAGTATTAAGTTGTTTGCATCTTGTTAATAATAATAACGTAGGAAATGTTGAAATGCAGGAGATGATAGGAAACGATGCGGAACACCACATTGTTACGCTTCACTTTGCTCTCCAACTTCGTTATTATAAATGACAACCCAAACAAATCCGTAAATCCGATAATACTCGCGGCTACGTGACATCCCTTGAATTATTCTTTCAAGATATGAAAATGTATAGAGTAAAGCCTTTGATATTGATATTAAAATACTAGAAAGTTGCTATTTGGTTACAATATCACAATGGAAACAAAGTAAAAGTAAAAGTATAATAGAAATATGTAATAGGAATGATAAAACTTAAGTTACGCGTGCAAATATTATAACAAAATAATTTTTTAACCTTGGAGGGCTAATTAATATAAAAATATGAGTTTTAGAGAGAAAAAAAAACACAAGACAATGGCTGGTCTTAATTATTTTGCACGTTTGAGTGTGGTTTTATTGCAATATTAAAAATAGACGTTTTTATTGTTTCTATATTGCGTTGTCATCAATAATTGCCCAGCACGACGCCATTGTTGATTTCCCAACAGCCGCTTATGCAAATACTCTTATCAGAAATACAAAAAAACATAAAACAACGCCGATTTAAGTGATAGTGATTTAATTTTATCGCCTACTTCACGATACATTCTCTGCTATTATTGCAAAATTAAGGTGGTTTATCGCTTGCACTCAGATGAATTTCGATAAAAATTGAGACCAATTAAAATCGTAAAACACCCACTCCTGGATTTGCAAATCACGGGAATTAGACTTTGTCTTGGTTTGATAAGGGTACAATTAAGCGTTCGGCACAAATTGCGGCTGGAATTCAAATAAAAATATTTTGCTTTTATTTGCGGATGCGATTGGACCTCTTGAGTTCAATGAGGCTTTATTAGAAAATTGTTGTAAATTTATGTCGCACAACAGCGAAACACATTTAACATTTTTTAGAGTGGGTGATAATAACTTCCGCGAGCTTAGTGCACGTAGCATTGTTTTATTTATATAGAATCGGTCCTTGTAAACAATAAAGTACATAGGTGCTTTTGGTAATAAACGAAATATCAGTAGCGTGAGTGCAAGTCAGTAGAAATATAATCCTTTAAACTTTTAAATCGGCTATTTAATTGCTTATTGTAATAAATACCATATAAATAGTCGGAAATAGTTATTAATGTATTAACTTACAATTTTATTATGATAGTGTAAATTACAGTGGCAAGAATAATAAAAATCAAAATTATCAGTTTCGAAATGAAAGTTTGTTTACCAAACCATTTTAATTTACTACCTAGACCGAACCGTGATACTACAAAATTGATTTCACTACTAATTTCTGAGAAAACAATCTCACGAGACTACTACGTTGATTGTTGATTATTATTTTAAAAAGTAATCGTCTAATTTATGTTTATCCACGGATTAGGACGCCCCTAATTTAAAAAGTAAACAGTTGTTGCACCATAATTATCAATTACTGCACTACCTTTATTTAATCATATAAAGATACGTCTCTCTCCGCAGTCTAGACAAGTCTGAAAAATCCTCTCCAATTGAGAGAAAAATTACGATCGGATAAATGCGTATCATCGTAAATATTTGCCTTTGGAAACTTACTCTCCCGTCACGCACGGATGTTCTAACAAAACGCCAAACGCCAAACTCTTTGATTATTATTCATATTAACCTTGAATCTGCGGTTAATTCGGATTACATAAGCATTATGAGGATTTCGCGCGCTACATTCATCTGCCCGCGGATTTAATGACTACGTCGCGTGTAAATTACGGATAGGAAATGATGTGTACATGCGCGTTGTGCGCATTTGCAGTGTTTTACAATTGATGAGCGAATTTACGCTAATCGTCCACATGTGCTGATCACACGAGGAGCACGAGACGCGCGTCACATTTGTCCTGGATTCAGGTGTCTGGACAAACATGAATTTGCGCTATTTAATTACGTACAATAATATTAAGTCCAGGTACACAAACGCAAGAAAACAAGGTGAAAACTTGCTGACTCAGTGACATATTCTTAATTATTTTGTGCATTGAACAAACAGGTTGAAATAAATGCTAATTGGTAAAATTTGTTTGTTTTGTCAAACAAAAACACTGTTAAGTAGAATTGTTAAAGTAAACAAATTGTAGCTTTTCATAATGATAAAGTTTTAATTATTTTTTGAGATTATAATTTTTGTCGTTAGTTATTATAGATAAAATATTGGAGGAGTTGAAACAATCTAGAAGGTGCTATTTTGTAACATTGTGAAATTCAAATTTTATGATACGTAACTAATGTTACAGTGCTGTATAACTGGTTGCCTAGCTTAATTCAATACTTTTTGCCTACTGTAGGCTTACACTGCGCATGACAATATGACTTAACTGGTAACGCATGGAATAAATGCGCTATACAACTGCTGCTTAAGTTAAAATAATTATTTCAATTTTAAATATTGATGTATATTAATTGATTTGAACATTATTTTTCTTAGAACTAATTTTTAATTTATAAAAAAACATTTGCTGAGTTTGCTAATTGAAATCACCTACAGAATAAAGTTAGAAATCTGTTGGAATTGTACTGAGAAACTTTGAGTGGTGGGATTATTATCCAATTGGAAAACGTGCGTTTATCATTTTGTTGATGCGACTATGACTTCGTTACAGCATACTTATACATTTTTTGCGTTAGTAGTAGGAACATTTGTACGCATGCACCAACCACTAGACTTAAGTCAGCACGACATAGCTATTTTGGTTGCATATCATCCTCGTTTTTAAAAATAAAGGTAACTTAACAACTCGTGGTTCAGTTCGTGCTGAGCCTGTTGCAAGTCTTGACTCTTTGAGTCGCTGATTCGTGCATATCGAACCAACTCTCGCCCGTCGATTGGGAGGGAAAACTTTGTCAGCACCGCGCGCCTTCTTATCAGTTCTTATCTTATTGCGCTGAAATAGTGGTCAACGAAGTTGGAAACACGCTCGCGTCGGCCGTGGCACGCACAGCGTTCGCATCCGTAAATAAATCCGACCATAAGAAAAATTTCGCTCCGCTCGCAAAATGAAAATTCATAAAGTGTTCAACATCATAATTCTCGGTTTGAATTCGTAATCGGTGCGGCGTGACCCTCGATCGAGAAGACATCTTCGGGATCTTGCCAGCCAGGGATAGCAGAATAACGTGCCGGTTGCAACTTATTTATACCCGCGACCGAATATAGAATGAGTCGGAAGAGCGGCTACAAGAGTGTCTACACAAGTCCCGATGGCATCGACGATGGCATTCAGAAAGTATCAACAGGTAACTAAATTCCGATATTTCCGCGCGAAGCGCATTTCGTAGTTTGGTTAAGTTCGGCGGCAACCTGCCCAGCGAGAACATAATCTACATCAGCGAAGAGTAAGCAAGCCACGTGCTTTAGCACTGCCTTGCGCTTGTCTACTCCAGTCAACGCATTAAGTAACGAACGCATGCGCACTGTGACAGGCGGCAAAATTCAAAAACAAGTACTATGCATTTCTATATCCGATATTCGTTCGACGGTATCACACAAACATGTCGTGATTTTTACGAGTACAATCGTTAAATGTTGCGACAATAGTGTTTACGTACGTTGCTAAAATATTACGAAGGTGACGCGACACATGGGTACAAACCATGTGCACCTAAAAAATAGGTGCGACACGTGAGGCATGTGTTACTCAATCCATTTGCATGCGCGAATTTGCATATGCGAATGTCGATCTTATTTCGTGCGACATGCGGTTTGATGAGCCAAAAATCTATTAAACGCATAAATAATAAATAATTACACGTGTGCGCTCCGAGTTTTTATTTTACATGTTATTTACGTTGGAAATTTAGGATAAACTTATTTAGATACGTATTTCTGGCAAAGTCCGCGAAAACTTTTTCATTTCGCGCGCTTCTCTATCGACTCTGGTTGCGTGGGCTTTCACCGAAAAGTCGGTGATGGAAATTTGAAATGTGAAAACTCATTCCTCGAATTGAGTACTGTGTAAATTGTTTAAAATAGTACAAGGCATAAAAATTCATTCGCCTATATTTTTACTTTCGAGTTCATGAACATGCGAGAATCAGGCGCTTAGCGCATGCACCACGAACAATTGTATAATTATTTCAACTTAAATGCGGAAGGCGAACAATATTTCTATTGCAATTATACTTATACACGTACACAAACATTATGTGTTATTAACTATAGCTCATATTTTAAAATTTAACAGTCATCCTAGCATATTTTTACTAATAACTAGTTCTTGGCAAGTTTTCGTAATCCATAGAGCCGAGTAAAGTTGATAAGCAGTTCAGATATTATCAAAATATTAATTTGAACTTGAATCATGAAATCAACTAATACCTAGTTACGAGAAGTCAACTAGTCACGCACTTGTCACGAATGTTAATTGTGTTTGTTCGAAGCAAACTGCCAATTTAAAAAAATCTCCTACGTCACAATAGTCATAACGACCGTTGACAGTTGTCATAATCAATTTGAACGTCTGTGTTACTTGATGCCATGCGAACGAAACAATGATGACAATGAAACTTAGCGAGATGTAAAATGCTTTTTTTTTTGCAATTTAGCTTTCCATTCGTGACATCCGATATGTCATTCATCAGACGGGCGTAATTGCGGTTTATAACTCGACCACTTTTAAATTCGTCAGTCCGAGGTTCTCGTAAATACAGCGACCTTTGATAAACGAATGAAATAATCAATCAAATAAATTGATTGCAACAACTGAACTGAGTTATATGGTAAATGTAGCATGTGTGCAATAATCAGCCGGCAAACGAATCTAAAGTCACTGAAATCCCTCTGACATCAAACAAATTCGCGATAATTTGCAGGTACATAAAACTAATCCGCATCATAAAAATTGTTTGTCATAGCGTATACACAATTAATTTTAGAATACGTCATTTGCTGATCGTTGCCTGTAGATGAATGACTTGGATTCTTAAAGATGACTTGTATTTTTCAACTCATGCGAAGGTCGAGGCCGTAGCAAAACATCTGCTTTTTATATTTCAGCTATTTTTACACCGAGAATCAATAAATTTAGATGTGAAAGATTGATTGTTAATAAATTTTGCAGTTTTTTTTTGTTCACGCTGTGAAGTTTAGTACAAGTAAAGTTGTGGACATTTGCAGACACGTTCCGCTCATTTAGGTACACATATATAGTTCGGGTTCCAACTGGGAACCCACAAAAAAAGTATTCGTGTTAATAAACTTGTCGAAGGTTACTTCCATTAAATACATATTAATCAGTCGACTGGCGTTTAATTGCAGTTGCCTTAATGAATTTCAACGTAGCGACCAGTTCCAGCAGTTCTCGAACTGTTGCACAACCATGCGAGACTTGTTGAATGGGCGCTTTTGCGCAATTCCACATTTATTGCCGTGCGAGATGTGTGACAAGCACGCCGTGCGCACGTCAACAAATTAAACTAGATTACCGCGGGCTTCATATGTAGATATTGTTTACAACACCTTTGTACTCTGGCTGTACTCGTGTGTAATTTTGTTGACACGATTTGATAGCATTTTTAAGCTGTCGCATTGTATTACTCATGCGATTTAATTACACCGGCTGGTTGTTAATTTTACTATTATTATCCTCTAGAATATGCACTGATTTTTTTCTATTTTAGACAAGTACGCATTAGGTACTATCGTATAACGAGTCAAGTTCTCAGGTATCTGGTTTTTCAAGTGCCTACAAAACACTTCCAAAAGTAGTAAAACTGATTCTTTTTTTGTGTAAATATAAACTTGACATAGTTTTGTCTTGTCATCTTTTAATCTGTGACCATATTAATTTAATTAATACAAATTCCACTCTTTTTTTGTGCTTACTAGTTTAGTCTAGTTTACTTTGCCGGTGTTTTTTTTTTCTGTTTTTCTGCGTCAGAAAATACGGTATTTGTTTGGCTTAATTTAGATTCGAAGCGTTGGGGCCATTTTAATGCGACATAATTAATTACTGCATGAGCGCAGGGTTAGACACACGCTGACGTCTCCTAATGGTTTCATCTCGTACAATGAGATGCCACGCTGGTGACGATGCTATTTTGGGAACCACAAGACTATTAGGAAATCTCAAATTGGTTATAATCGGATCTTTTACTCGGAACACATTTATTTTTAGCTAAAATTCAGAACAACATCAATGATATTCTAAAGGTTCAAGTTTATATAGACGTTGATGAAATTTTTTTTATTGCATGCTAGAAAATTATTAAAACGATGACAATATAAAGTACAATTAGCGTACAATGTACCCGGATATGAATATCAACTTGATTGACTTGTTTATTGAATTGTTCCTTTTTTAATTTCAGGATGGTTTGGAACAAGGCACATGGTCACGCTCATGCTGTTCATGGGCATGGCGAACGCGTACATCATGAGGACCAATATGTCAGTGGCGATTGTCGCAATGGTTAATCACACGGCCGTCGATGAGAAGAACAAAAATCACGTTGTAGAAGTCTATGATGATGAATGTGGCGTACCTTATGAGAACGAGAAGGTATTTGTTTATACATTTCAACATTTCCGTTTTGTCTCCATCTGAATGTAGTTGCATATTAAATATTTACATTCGGTATAAATATGGCGATAAGAACCTTCAAGCGCTCAAGTGTATCAGAGTAGCGGGTAATGGTAAACTCTACCCTGGAGTTCACGCCGCTGTTTGTAGTATAAATATATAAACACGTGTTATCAGCGCAATAACAATTTATAACGTTAGTAAATTTAATGCATCTCAAGCGCATCATAATTAATTGCAACTTTGCGACGCATTTAGTTTAAATTGAACGCCAATAACTTGAATATCGTGCAAGTTGATGAAGTGGTTGTAAATTTATTGAGATAAGCGGCGACAGTTAATAGAGACTAGAGAATCACTTTTATTACGCCATAATTACTATCAGACAATTGGCTAGTAGATAGTTATATCCCTGGCCTACAAAACGAATTTAACGGATCTAAATTTAAACATTGACATTGAATATTTGTCGCGGAATATATAGACGCATGCGAATTGTGCGCCACTGGCCGGCAAATGTGAGAAAAATTCATAAAAATTAGGTCACTCGCCAAAATGCCGAAAGTTTGTTTTATGCGAAAACGCGAAGGTCATTTTTCTCGACCGCAGCACAAACTTTTATGTTAATTAATTACTTTTGCCTTATAATTAACATTTCGATTTTTGGCAAGCGTGCAGTACACAAGCCTCTGCAGTTGATTATTTTGCGATTTAGAATTTATAATATTTTGGTAACGAACTCGTATATATTTCATTGATGGTCCTGAATTTTTTGTTCGAACTGCGTCACGCGTGCGCCAAATATTATTTTCGGCTGTCTTTAATCTCGTATTTTTAAAGTGAATGGAAGTAACTGTCAGACACGATAACTCATCACCTTCTCGTGACATTACTATAGATAAAATTGTAAATATTGAAACATTGAATATGTCTCGGCATTTTTTAGTTCAAGATTGAATTTTCTACGGTGGAAAAAGGGGAACGGAACAAGTGTCGGTACATTCCACTTACGTAAATGTTGATAATAAATGTGTAATGGAATATCACATTGTGCGCACGCCTTTTATTTAATAAGGTTGATTTCAATTCGTTATCAGATGTATTTCTTATGCTCGCCACTAAACTTATAAAACACGATTCAATTTCGCGTGTGTTTACTTAACTCCATGTCTACAAAGGGTTTCATTAATGCTGAAACAGTAAATATTTAGTCTGACATAATCAATTCTATAGGGTTTACTGCAATCTTGTGTTTGTCATTCAGAATTCACTGTAATGATAAACATATCTAGTGTTGTCGATGACTGTGAAGTACCTGATTGAGATGATCATTGGAATTTTCTCAAATACCCAGTGATATTCCAACGTCACATGCAGGAATGAGTTATGTTAATGAGAGTATTGATAAGTCCGGATTGGTCTGCTTTCTCAGACATCTCGTAGCGCAAAATCACAAAGTTAAACAAACCACTTCAAGCTTAATACAAATTTGTTGAATTAACACTTCAATGGCATATACACATGCAACGCAAATGGAAATTGATGATGATTTTATGATTCAATCGTTGAATTACAGCACAAAAATGGCACCGATGGAGAGTACGTTTGGGACAATGATATTCAGAGTTACATCCTCAGCTCCTTCTTCTATGGCTATGTCATCACTCAAATTCCTTTCGGTATTCTGGCGAAAAGATACGGCAACATCTGGTTCTTGGGCGTCGGCATGCTGGTGAATTCCGTCTTCGGTTTGCTGGTGCCCATTGCTGCTGAAGGCGGTATTTGGACGCTGATCATCGTCAGATTTATTCAAGGATTGGGCGAGGTAGGTAGACTTAAGCAAACTGTACAACGAGTGAGAATACAAGCGCCTGCTGACATTTTGCAAATTGAGGTAGCAATACGTGTTAGATGATACTCGTCGGGTAGATTTAAATTCAGATTATATAAACAAAAAGTCGCAGGATGATGTTTGTCATTCTCACTTATGTACCTTTGCATTGGTACTGAAAAGTGAACATTTCTGGCCAGGGCCCTATTGTACCATGCACGCACGCTCTTCTGGCGAAATGGATTCCACCTAATGAGAGAAGTCGTATGGGTGCGTTCGTTTACGCAGGTATTATTACAAATTTTCTCTCCACTTAATCTGTCCCACAAGTCGACAAACTCTGCAACTCGAATCGTTCGTGCTCTTTGCGTTAACTAGCTTTATTGCGACGTTTATGTAAAAAACGAAATCAAACGTTGTAGGTACCTACTCATTATTATTGAGTGAGTATTGAAGCATTGAAACAAGCTGTGTGTGTCATTTAAATTTTGTTTGCGTCTTGGTACTCACACTAGTAAACAATTAATTCACATTTGTTTTGAATTGTTTTTTTCTAGGAGCCCAATTTGGTACTGTTATCTCCATGCCGTTGAGTGGTTTGTTGTCCCAGTCTGATGCCGGTTGGCCTTCGATTTTCTACGCGTTTGGTGCTGTTGGTACCATCTGGTCTTTGGCATTCCTGTGGTGGGTCTATGAGGATCCCGAAGTCCACCCAACTATTAATCCCGACGAAAAGAAGTACATCATGAATGCATTATGGGGAACTCAGGGAATTACTGTATGTTTATCTAGGCGATTTTAAATCACAGATTAGTTAATTTTATAACTATTTACAGATGCCCCCCATTCCATGGAAATCCATCATCAAGTCCATGCCTTTCTGGGCTATCCTCATTGCTCACATGGGTCATAATTACGGTTATGAAACATTGATGACCGAATTGCCAACTTATATGAAACAAGTGCTTCGTTATGATATTAAAGAGGTAGAAATAAATATGAAAGATCTATTCTAGGAGTGCTTTCTAACATGATTTGTATTCTTTCAGAATGGTACCCTTTCTGCCTTACCCTACCTCGCTATGTGGATCTTTTCAATGTTCGCTAGCCAAATTGCTGATAAGTTACTTAGTGCCAAAATATTATCACTTACTGTGGTTCGTAAAATACTCAATGGCATCGGTAAGTAATCGACATCTTCTGCTCTCGCTTTAGCAAGTTGTCATAAACATAATATATTTGTGCAGGTCAATTCGGTCCCGCCATCGCTCTTGTGGGCGCTTCCTTCACAGGCTGCCAACGTGGGTGGACTGTTGCTATCCTCACAGTCGGTGTTGGTCTCAATGGTGGTATCTATTCCGGTTTCAAAGTAAATCATTTAGATATATCGCCAAGGTTTGCTGGTATTTTGATGGCTTTCACGAATTGCCTTGCCAATTTGGCTGGTCTATTGGCACCTTTATTTGCTGGTCAAATTTTGAAAGGTGGTACCGAAGTTCTGGTAAGTGCAATCTGAAACGCATTCTGTGACAAGTAATAACTTACATTTTCCATTCATAGTCAACACATGAAAAATGGCAGATTGTTTTCGTTACTGCCGGCGGTGTGTATGCAGTGTGTTGTACAATCTATTTGATATTCGGTTCTGGTGAACGCCAGCCATGGGACAATCCTGGAGATGACGAGGACACGAGCAGTAGCAGAAGCACTAGCTGTCGGCCGCAAAACAGTAAAGATCGAGACGTAGAAAGTGCAAATCAGTTAACTACAGCGACGTAGTGTGTGCGTGTGAATGGGTGTTTAAATGGGTGGGTTCGTGATGCCCTTTTTTTATACATAATATAGAATGATTGAATTTTAGTGTATAGTGTATAGATAACGTTATTTTTAGATAAATTATTGAATTTTTCAGCGAGACAGAATCATAATTATATTATCTATATGAGTAATAGTGATAGCCCGCCGGGTAATAATTAATGTACACTTCACTTATCAACATCATCATCAAATGTAGGCTCACTTTATTTATTGAATTAAAAAAAAAACATCAAAATTTGTCATTGAATCCCAGATTTGATGCCTTATATCGTGAAAGAACAATTCATACTCGTAAGTCTCTATGATTTGTTAGTTTTATTTAGATCAATTCGGTAATTCACAATTATTGTCAGATTTTATATTGTTTTGTATTATATATCCAGCCTACCAAACTTGTATATATTCATAACTCATCTATACACACAAAAGAGATATTCTTACTGCTAGTAAATATTAATTGTACGTTTAACATTAAGAAATGCATAATTAGAATATGTTAGTGGTTTTAAGTACAAAAAAATGTATTGCTGATACTCAGCATAACCAAATTTACAAAAAAAGTAGCATTTTTATAAAGTGGTAAAAGTGTATAATTACCGAAAAAAATGTGTAAATCATTAATCAGTAACTACTCAATTAATATCAGTTTTAGCGATTTTTGTTGAACATATTGTGTTATTATTTATGTTAAATAGGAGTGATTCAATTGTGCCTGTAAGACGGAGGCGTATTGAAGATTCGGTGCTTCCTCTTAGCACTTTTGAGCGCGTGCGGAGTAAAGATGTTCCTACTGGTAGGCCTCAGCAGCGAATCTGTACTAGGAGTCTGTTGCAACCTTGGAGTCGGTTGTGTCTCGCACAAATTGACAAATGAAGACCAGTAGTCAGTCGGCAAACTCATAATTGCTTCCATCGCCTGGAGAATAAGAAAAAGTAAATTGCCATATACATACAAGCATGAAATTGCCAAAGGTTTACCATGTTTTGCTGTCTTGTTTCCGTGAGCAAATTATCCGCACTCGGATTGGACGATGAGTAGCCGACAATGGTCGGGCCGAAAACTTTTGCCAAATTAGAAATTGGCATTTTACACTCGGGTGATTCGGCAACCCTAAAATAAGCATGTGTATAACACGTTAAACATTACGTGCGCTAAAAATAATTCTTACGTTCTCAAATGTAGCATCATATATGCGAGAGTATCGCGATTTGGCTGCGGTAATTCGCTAATTAAACGGTACAATCCAGCGGTGATATTTTCCTGGTCACCTTCAACGCATTTCACAAATCGCGGCCATAGGGTGAATGTGATCAGCGGCTCATGCAAGTAACGCAAGAAATCTTTCACCGTACCGCAGATGACGTGGATATCAACATCGCGCAAATTCGGGGAACCTTTTCCTCGTAGGAATTTCTCCTTGAGTTGTTTGACGTCACGCTCCGAACCTGGAATTCTATAGATTCCAAGTTCGCGTAAACCACGCTGTTCGATTTCGTTCACACAGTGAACAATTAATGCTGGCACCATGGGAGCACTTGTTGGAGTGAAATCACTAATCAAACCCTATTAAAAGTAACAATGAATAATTATAATTTTAGGATATAATTAACTACTCACAAGAAGATTTCTTGTGGGAGTATTAACAAATGGAATGCACGGCAATGGCAAGTCTTTCTGGCATTCTGGATGACAAGTGGCTCGGCAATCTTTGCACTTGAGAGCTGTTTTACCAAAGCGAAGCTTTTTCTCACATGAGACGCATGTATCAGGCAAGACGACGGTTTTGCTTTGCAGAGAATGTTGACGCGCTGGAGTCTTTTGTGCTTCTTGGCGTTGTCCATTATTTTGCCACATATCAAAAATTATATCTGTTCTTGGTGCTGTGGCAGCATCTTGTCCCTATGTAAATATATAAATGCACTTTAATAACTGTATACTTAATTACATTTGAATATTATACCTCTTTTGGTGGTGGAACAGCTTCAATCACTGATGTAGCAGTTATTGGTCCATGCTTGGGAACAGTTAATGTAGTTGTAGCTCTAACACTATCAGTATTGTTAATCTAACATAAAAAATACAATTTAACCACTACTCCCTTTTGAAATAAGAAATAATTATAATGTTTACCTCTACACATCTTTGATGAGTTGATGAACGACGTTTTTTAATGGGTGGCTCAGGTCCACTACTATGCCTTGGTTTCTTCCAGTTTCTACCAGCACAAACTGATGCATCCAAGTCATCCTCAGACCTGGAATAACTGAAGTCTGATAAAAGAGATCCTAGAATATTGACAGACATTTAGTTAATAAACACATTCATCAATTTTGTTATTTTAGTTTCAATACCTGTAGTGTTAACTTCTGGAATTGCACCCAACTGATGACCATATGATAAATTTGGATCAAACATGTGATCATCAACATTCAAAAATGCGAGTTTCTCATTTGCTTCACGATTTAATACTCCTTTATTGTCTCTGAACAGAAATTCTTTAACTTTGTGAATCTGTCCTCTTAAATCATCATTTTCGTCCTGCAACCTCTTGCTTCTTCTCTTTTCTGCATCCACCATCTTACGAGCAAGATTTAACTTGCTCTCAACATCACTCAATGTGTGAGTCCTCTCATCTACTAACATTTGTAATCTATGACACTCATCATGGGTCATAACAAGATTATTACGAAGTTCTTTCATGTGTTGCACCATGTCCATCATGGCATCTTCCACATCAGCTTGCCTTTGCATTTTGCAAAGACGAATAAGATCATCAAATTCACATACCACGCTAAGCTCTCCATTTTCCGAAGTTTCAGTGTTGCTGCTCTTAACACTTTGCATACTATCATCACTTTCGGAACCTTCCATGGGAGTATAATCGGTTCGGGGTGTTTTGAATAACACTGTCCCTTTGACTTTCGGTGTGTTGTATTTGTCACACATTTTTAATTATTTCACTAACGTGGTTTTCATTTACTCCAAACAAATGAAACGCACTAATACTATTGATTGGCGCGAATATCTTGCCGGTTTTACAACGGAAAGTACTTTGAATCTTGAATTTCAACTGCCGGAACGGATATGTTTGTGTTCTGACTCACTGAAACCCAACGGCAATGGCTAAATAGAAAGAGAAGGTGCATGTGAAGTGTAACGGTCATTTTTAGTACACATGTTTGTTGGTAGCTGGCGCTACGGGTTCAATATCTGGAATTAAAATACATTTTATCTTCGTGAGGTATTCGCGTTTACTTTTTGCAGTAGTTTGTTGTTTACACTGTTGTGATACAGAATAGTGTGGTACAAAAAAGAAATATAGGTACCTACCTGCTGCAGTATTCTCAATTTGTAAGAAATATTTACTTAATTTTAATACGTCAATTAATAACAAACATATAACTAAATATTATTCAAAATATTTATAATTTTGTTTTAGTCTTGAATTAGAAAACTTAAAAGTTATACTAAAAACCTTGTATTTATAGTATGTAACAAGATTACGTATTACTTATTACCTTGGCTTGCAAGCAATCCAATTTAAATTTGACCTATTACATTATCTACAATATATTGGAACCCATTACAAAATTTACAACTCCTTTAACTGGATAATCCCAAGAGTTCAGTACGTTTCATAGCTTCCAATATCGATGAAACGTCCAAATAATGTGGACAATTAAGTAGTAAAAGAGTAACAGTAATGCACAAATCTAGTAATTTTCAAGTTTAGTTGCAATAAATAAACAAAATGTATAATCAACATGATTAATAGCCAATTAAAAATGGTTGATTGCATTTCAGTGTGCGCACCTAGCTTTATAGAAACTATGCATTAAGCAATAAGTTCGTTAATAGTTAATCCAATTATAGGTGTTTAGGTAACTTGTAATCAAAAACATGAATGTAAGTGCTTAATCTGTAGAATTAAATTTTTGGCTATATATGGAGAGATTGCATAATCCTTATATTAAAATTGTCTACCTTAAAAGGAAATTTATTGATCAATAAAAAAGCAACTAATGAATATTTGACTTCAACTAAGTTTTGGCAGTGACTTTGCATTGAATTTTGTCATTGTTTATGCACTTGTTAGATATTATCCTTCGCGCTTGATTTAACACTCCATTAGTGAGGCACAATACGGCAATGAAGGCAATTGATGCTAGCGCATTACGCGACAAATAAAAATAAATTAACTGGAGTGCCAATCAAACGACACTATTCCGTAAATTAAAATGATTGAATGCGCGTGCTAATTGAACAGTTGGCAAATAAAGCAATCGATCTAGTGAGTTGTAAGCATAATAAACAATTGAAAATTTTAAACATAATTTCAACCAGAAGTGCACATGTGCGTTTAGAAACATTAAACAAAAGAAAAAGTCAAGGAAAAATGTAGCGTAATGAAAACAAAGTATTGTGTGTATAATATGGCCGACATCACAGACTGACATGCCAATAAATTAAAACACAATGCGTGACTTATCAAAGCGCAAAAAAAAAATTTGCACGCATTATGAAACACAGCAATGTGCGTTGTGGTTTAACGTCGACGAATCGTTGCTACTAGTATTTGTTTGCATTAGACCGGTGCCAGAATTATTCCCGTTCGGTCGCGGCTAGTTTGGTGAAACGAGGCACTTATTGTCGGAAAAACGCAGCGCTCGCGAGTCGGCAGGCGGCGCTCGGCGGCGCTTCGCAGTTCGCAGGAAAACCGGTGCCAGAGCGGACCAACCTGCGAGAGAACGGAGAACGCGCGCGCTTGCGGCGGGCGTCGATGCTTCGTGAGCCCGAGAAACACACACAAAATCGATGTGTGCGGAAGCGTCGCGACGCGCGCACCACTCCCTCGCGTAGCCACATTGGCACATTGTAAATACATAAACAACTAGCGCGCCGAATTTTTGTTTATTTATATTTCGCATTAAAACGCCGCGGCGGTAGCGCGCAGCAGCGAGAGCAAGTGCGCGAACAAGTGTTGCCAAAAAACACGTATCGTACAAGCAAGACAAAAAAAAACAGACACCTACACACAACGTAAAGCTCCTTGAACAGCAGATACTCCCTCACAAGTAAGTAGAGTACATATATATTATTGTCATTACTTATTATCTATAAATGCTAAATAAACTAGCAAATATTAAGCGTTAATCATGACGTAAAACCTGATAGAATATAAAAATCGCAACTGCATCTTTTTCAAGTGGTTGATGATGATAATAGTAGTGGATGTTGTCTTCGCGCATGGCGTGCGTGCCGAGGTCCGCCCTGGTTTTCCGGGCGCATGTCCTGTTAATCAGGCAGCGCGAAACAATGAAAAATTCGCCGTGACTGAACAAAAAAAAAAAACTCCAGCGGTTGGAAATTGGAGGGACAATCGATATGAAATGTAGGTCTCGAGGAGATCTTCTCTGATCTCTCGGATTTGGTATTTTGCAAGGACTCTGTGAACGTTTCCGCGCGAAAATGTGAAAGCACGCGCACGTCTACTTCGCACGCTTACATCATAAATAGACGATGTCAGCCCGCTCCGAATCCGACGAAGAGCAACGTGAAATTTGAAGCGCGCGTGCTCACATCGCGGCAGGAGCGCGTGTCTAGCGCACACCTGAATGTATTGACATTTGATGGCCGCGTTGCTGCTCGTGTAGGAGTCGACGTCGCGGCCGGAGCGGACCACCTCGCACATCTACCAGTAGTCGCGTTGTCTGGTGCCGCGCCGCGTCGGGATTCCTCTCCGCTGCGAAGGAAGATCCACGAAACCACGACCTCGACTCAAATTCAAACTAAACCAAGCGGTGCGTTTTAAATTTCAATAGTATCTCGGTTATCCGTATCTCTATCATCTTTCAGCAGCAGTTTAGTTTTTATTTGTTAAACTCAGAAATTTTCAGTTTAAAGCCACAACAATAGAAGTGAAGGTGACGTGTGATATAAATATTATTAATTAAATGCAGTTTGTAACCGTCGGTTAACATTGAAACTCATTCCCGCGTTTCACTATACGAGTAAATCGTGTAAGATTTATGGCCGGTCATCGAATTTTTATTGTTCCGAATAAACTCGCCTCGTAAATCTCGCATGACGACTTGCATATTGCTCGCCATTCTGGAGACATGTTCCGTGCCAATTCGTATGATTACGTCTTTAATATAATTAAATAAGCGTCTATTATGTGATATGTAACGAGTGACATTATATTAGCGCTGGACCGAAGGCGTTCGCGCGCGCGTTTTGGTATTGCGTTCGTGCGTTTCATTGTTACAAGTTGTTTTGGAGGTCGCCGCACATGTCTTTTATATTTCGCTCATTATTGGCCAATACGCGTGAAGGTTTTTTCTCCGAATTCAATTCGTGCGCCGTGGGGAGCTTAGAAGGAACAGTTGAAGTCCGGGCACGTCCGACGCGCGTTTTGTTTTTAATTAAAAGCTAAACGAAACCAAACTGAAGGCGTTACTAAATTACTACGTTGTTTTGTGTGTTTGGTAGCAGCTCCAGCGATGGCCGAGGACGAGTTGAACGATGATGCGACGGACATCAACGCGAAAGGAGGTTTCCGGTCTCGCGGCCGGAAAGGCGCGCTCAAGAAGAAGAATATCTACAATGTCAAGGATCACAAATTCATGCCGAGGTTCTTCAAGCAGCCGACATTCTGTTCGCACTGCAAGGACTTCATTTGGTGAGTGTCCGGGTTCTTTCATTTACTTTTACGACTTCTGTTGCTTCCGACACGTTATTGAATTTGCGTCGCGAGACGAGACGTGCGTTCATAAAATATATTGGTGATTTTTATGGTGGCGCATCGTGTGTGGAGCCTTGCTTTATAGTGGATTTTATAACGTCTAACGATATGAGCTACGCGACACGAGCGAACGTTCCAAACGGCTGATGCTGATGATTTCGGGAGATTTTATCGATTTACTCTGGTTTTCATGTGCGCTCCCGCACACGTATTCGCGCGATTCACCTGTTGATTGGCTAACGACCGAACCGAGCGAAACGCCGCACGAAAATCGAGCTGCCGCAGAAGATACTCTGGCATTTACAGCGTGTTGCATAAAATTATTTACTTTCAATATCGTCTCGTCGGAAAAGTCAAGTAGGTGCTTGAAGTTTCCATCAATTTAAAGTTACTCGCGAAGTAATGAGTCAATTTATAGTTATTAATTAAGTTTAATGCACGTTAATCATAAATCAGGCTCTTGACTACGTCAGGAGCGACCGACGCTCGTTTTATTAAGTCAATTAATCTCGTACACAAATTAGGAGCGCGATAAATTAGATCAGCACAACCTGTGAGCTGCAAGGCGTACCTGGGGATCGACCCAGGGAGAACTTACCCCCATTATTGCTGAAAGTGTGCACGCACCAGCAGATAACGGCCCCTGCTCCCGTTCCAACTCCCTAAACAAGCAGGCACGCCGCTGCGAACAGCCCAGATCTTGTTAAATGAGCTGTTGGACATTATCTCATACAACTGTGATTCTACGAGAAGTGTGAGGGTAGTAGCGTCTCTTGCTAGATGGGCCAACATCCATTCCGGTTCCCGGCGCGCCCGCCTATGATGATACCTTTGATTGTACGCAATTATTTGAGAAACGACTGGAAGATCCGATCGTCGTTCGCAGAGCGCGGCTGTGGTGGTGGCGGCGGCGGCGGCAGCGTCGCGCGAGTGTGAACAATATTCGCAAAGTGAACCCGACGGCGGTCGGTTTATTGATCACAATTTACGTGTTTATTTTTAAAATGGTTTATATATGGGTCATTCGAAACACGCTTATGAGTACGTTACGTTGTGAGTGCGGACGGGGGCAATAAAGAGCGCAATGCTTCATTGGTCGGGCGAAAACGTAAACATTAATGATTCATGTTGCTGGTTTTTCTTTTTTTGCACGCCGTTTGCCGTGTATTTAATTATCGTATATTTTACGTGCACGCGAAGGTTTTCCGCACGTCTGTGCGAGCAACAAATGTGTAGAATCGTGCGTGGTCATTGAGTTTCCAACCTCCGAACTATTGTAATAAGAAATTTTTAGTAAAAATTTCAGTTTCGTGCAAAGTACACAACGTTTTTTCTTGAAGAATACAGTCATGCTAGAGTCATTTTGCACCATTTGCGCATTTGTTTATTCGATCTGTGGCGGCTTACTGCTTTTAAGAAAAGTAATCAATTTCGCACGCGAAACTTTACATTCAGCTGCACTTTATTTAATCAAGCGCTCAGACATAATATACATATGTAAATTTTCTATTTTGTTTCTAACGTCGTTTGGTTTTGCGTAATGGTCGTGGGATATTTTTAGACGCGAAACACAAAAGACATGTTTTTCTAGATGGAAATTGTAAAAATACTAGAAATGTGTTGTGTGACTTATTGGTTACTCCAAACAAACAATATTTATTTAACATTTATGTTGTAAGCACAGACATAAAAACCAACTTTTCACTTAATGAAATAAACATGAACAAAAAATCTTGTGTGCTCTGTACTTATTGCAAAATTGCACGATTATTAGCCAACAAATCCAACAATATGGACGTTATTCTTTATTGTGAGGCCAACTTAGAAGGAAAACTGGAATATGGCCAAGGTATAAGATGCTCTGCAAATTGTAAATAGATCTATAGTGCATCCGCGTTTATTCATCGATTTCAACATACAATGATAAATTATTTATTGAGCGTTCCTTTAATACAAACTATTAAAAATTGCGTAAAATCAGTTAAACATAGATGACAATCATGTGTCCATCAATCAACTTGTTTACGCTCTGCATTAACATTTTCTCATAACTTTAATAAAACAATAGATTAATTTTAAAATGTTGGATAAAACATACTTTTTTGAAGCCATCACAACATGCGCTCAACAAGTGTTAGTTTGGTGAATCCAAAAATATTGTGATAAAACACACATTTACAATTTTACAACTCGGAATCACACATTATGTGCTCATAAATCATTTGAAATAACCACACATTTAGTTAATTATGAAATTATCGTTTTGGGGCTTAGCAAGATCAAAACGGGAGGAAGTCGTTAATTTATTTTAAAAAAATTTATAGACTTATTGAACCTTTGGTGCGGTAATTTTGAAACAGTGTCAAGCAATGATTTCCGCTGTTTTACATTTTGCCCTCGCGTTAAGAGTACGTAAATAAAACTAGAAATTGAAAAGCGTGCACAACTTTTTTTAACTTCGTGCCGTATATTTCGTGTACGTCGCGATGTTAATATATTGCGTCGGCTTATTGCTCGACGCGGGGGGAATGTAATAACTTTTCGTTGTTCTAGCCATATATGTAAGCCGCGCGTACTTTCGTCTTTTCGTCTTTCCGTTGTGAAATAAATGAACGCACGCTCGCGCATTACACTCACAACGAACGTCCAACTCCAATACTTCAACTCTTGACATTGCCTGAATAAATAAGAAAAGCAATTTTGTTGCAGGGGTTTCGGCAAGCAGGGATACCAATGCCAAGGTACGACCGTGCCATATAATTCGCATGCTTTCGCTCTTAAATTCACGCGAGGAATTTAATTTTCCAACGTGACCCAACCGCCACCAAAGAGTACCGAAACTCCTCGCAAAACCAGTGTTCTTTTGTGTTCGCAGTGTGCAGTTTTGTCGTGCATAAAAGATGCCACGAGTACGTCACGTTCACGTGCCCCGGCGCGGACAAGGGCGCCGATTCGGACGTACGTGCCCCGCCTGCCAATCCCATCCCCAGCGGATAAATAAATTAAACGCGCGATTTGTTTCTAGGACACGCGCACGAAGCACAACTTCAAGCCGCACTCGTATTCGTCGCCGACGTTCTGCGACCATTGCGGCTCCCTGCTCTACGGTGTCCTGCACCAGGGGATGAAGTGCACAGGTAATTGTCGGTCTAAATATCTGGCCCATCGGTATGCGAAACGCATCCCATGATGAATGCGTGCAATCAGTGTATGCGGTCGCAGGCATGTGTCCAATAATGTAGGGCGATAAAATCAATTCCCTGGCGAATTCGCAAATTACTCTTCTTCCCTCCTAACATCCGCCTGCCTCGAGAAGCATTCTGTTAATGTGCATGGATTTGTGCAGCCTGCGATATGAACGTGCACAAGCGATGCGAGGAAACCGTGCCGAATCTCTGCGGCTGCGATCACACCGAGCGTCGTGGTCGAATGCAATTAAAAATCAGCTGCAGTGGCAACAAGCTTACAATCGAAGGTGAGCTTCCTACCTTCTCGATTATTTATATCAGGAAAACATTATTTCAATTGCTTCCTTGAGTTTTATGATGTATAGTACTCATTATTCAAGAATTTTCCTATGAAATGTTCAAGGGTTAATTTGTTTACTTTTGACGCCATTTTCAAAACTCATTTCATTCCCCAAATATCAAATTAAAATCTTTCACATCCGGTCTGGGTTTGTTCATCAGTGTGCCAAGGCAAGAACCTCATACCGATGGATCCCAACGGCTCCAGCGATCCGTACGTCAAGCTGAAATTAATCCCCGATTCGGATAATGTCAAGAAGAAAACCAAGACGATACGCTCGTCGCTCAATCCCGTGTGGAACGAAACGTTGACATTGTGAGTGCGCTCGGTTTGCACAAATTATGAATCAAATTCAATTTTCTCTCCGTCTGTTTTATTGCGCATTACAGCGACCTGAAGCCGGAGGATAAAGACCGCCGTTTGCTAATCGAGATTTGGGACTGGGATCGAACATCGCGCAACGACTTCATGGGTTCGATGTCTTTTGGCATCTCTGAGCTGATAAAGTCGCCGGTCAGCGGCTGGTTCAAATTGTTGACACAGGAGGAAGGCGAGTTTTATAACGTGCCGGTGCCAGAGGAGGGCGTCGACATGGCACAAATTAAATCCGCGATGAGGGTAAATTTGATTATTCATGCGAGGACGATCAAATTTTAAATGCGTCCCTGATGTGTTTCTAGAAAACTTCCATCACGAAGAAGCCGTCGCTGGCTGAAAACAAGGACGTGCCGCACAACATGGGCAAGAAGGATGTGATTCGTGCGACTGACTTTAATTTCCTAATGGTGTTAGGCAAGGGCTCTTTCGGCAAGGTGATGCTTGCTGAACGTAAAGGTACCGATGAGTTGTACGCTATCAAGATACTCAAGAAGGATATCATAATTCAGGACGACGATGTTGAGTGCACGATGGTTGAGAAACGTGTTTTAGCTTTGTCTAATAAACCACCATTCCTGGTACAATTGCATTCCTGCTTTCAAACAATGGATCGGCTCTACTTCGTAATGGAGTACGTCAATGGCGGCGATCTCATGTTCCAGATTCAGCAGTGCGGCAAATTCAAAGAGCCGGTCGCTGTGTACGTTAACAACCTTCTCCCACATACATTCCACAATCATGCATATGAAGAACTTATGTTCTTTTTAACGGAAGTCTTGTTGTTTCAGTTTCTACTCGGCTGAAATTGCTATCGGATTGTTCTTCTTGCATAGTCGAGGTATTGTGTATCGTGACTTGAAGTTAGACAACGTGTTGCTCGACCAGGACGGGCACATTAAAATCGCAGACTTCGGGATGTGCAAGGAAGGTATTCTTGGTGACAAGACCACTAAGACGTTTTGTGGAACGCCCGACTACATCGCGCCGGAAATAATCCTCTATCAGCCGTACGGAAAATCCGTCGACTGGTGGGCGTACGGCGTTCTGTTATACGAGATGCTTGTCGGCCAACCACCATTTGATGGCGAGGATGAGGAGGAGCTGTTTGCCGCCATTACCGATCACAACGTTAGCTATCCTAAAGGACTCTCTAAGGAATCCAAAGACGTGTGCAAAGGCGTAAGTACACCTTTCCACTGCTCGTAAATCTTTAATGTACTGCAACGTGCGTGAAATCTGTTTGAAGTTGTTGACGAAAAATCCGACGAAGCGTTTGGGTTGCGGCGGACATGGCGAAGAAGACGTCAGAGGACACGCTTTCTTCCGTCGCATTGATTGGGACAAGATTGAAAACAGGGAAATTCAGCCACCGTTCAAGCCAAAAATCGTTAGTATTTCACGAAATTTCAACTTTGCTCGCACGCATTAAGGAATATTTTGAATTTGTTTACAGAAACATCGCAAGGACGTAAGCAATTTCGATAAGCAATTCACCTCGGAAAAGACGGATCTCACGCCCACGGACAAACTATTCATGATGAACTTGGACCAAACTGAATTTATGGGATTCTCGTTCTTGAATCCCGAGTTCATTCAGCATGTTTAAACGGTCATGGGTGAGTGCAACGGACAGACCCATTAATACACGCATTCGATACAATCTTGTGTAAGACGTATTGACGTCTATTCTCAATTCTACTAGTTTACGAAGCCATTACACGAAATTATAATTGCAGCGTGACTTCGGTTCCAAAATGAAGAATGTTGTAGACGTGTAGAGAGCATTGACAATGGAAAAGGTCAAGTCGAATTTAACATTTCGATCACGTTCGTTTACCAACAGTAATGTATTAATCATCCTGTTATTAAGGAAGTGTGCGCGGCTGATTTCCTATGTTAACGTTTATTTTATCTGTTTTGTGATAAAATTGCGACTTGATATGCGGCGATAACCGTAGTCGAGTGTGCGGTCGCGTTTCGAGTGGACGACTCAATTAATTTAATTATTTAAATGACGCATCATATTTAGGAACCAGGCGAGCAGCTAGTCATGCATTTGAATTGACCTTAATTCCTTCGTTTTTGCTCTACATAACCTTTCTAAACTGTTATAAGACTTCAAAAATCGTTACGATTTTCTATGTCGCCCAAACTCAAGTCATTGATGGATATTATTCCTACCTTGTTGATTATGCTACGCTTGAATGATGAAATTGTACACGGGACAGAACTAGAATCTTTCAAATCTGCAAATCAGTACACGCAGTCTGTTTGGTGTATTGTTAAATCATTCAATAAGTAATTATACTATACTATAAATATTACATTTGTTACAAAAAAGAGACTTAAAAAGAACAAAAAAAAATCTCATGCGTAATTGGACATCTTTCTCAATGTGCCATTGATAATAATTATTTCTATCAATAATAAACTAATCTAATATATATAATACGCATACATATTCAAACAAAAACTAAACATATATTATATATTTATTAATTTATAAGACGCCAGTCATTAGAAGCATTTCAATGCTTGCTGTCAATGCAGACATCGTTGTTCAATTGTGAGTATTAACACACTATTTCGGAATTGCATTTCTTCTAGCATATATCGACTGTTCCAGAAAATCAGTTGCCGTGTATTATAGATATTTGCTAATTCAATTTGAACTTTAATTAAATGGGCAAATATAGTGCAGATAGTTTAGATGGGCAAAATCGATGATTACTTTCGCGAATAACGAGGGCCAAAGAAATAGTTGGGAAATCAATCATTTTATGTCGTCGGTAACTCAATTTTTGGAACACTCTGTGCATTTTAACAGAAATTCCATGTCGACCAGCCGTCGAACATCGAGCATAGTTGGCGTTTACCTATTTGATTGCACAACGCAATAAAACGATATCAAATGAAACCGAAATGATAACCAAAAAATAAGCAAAAACAATGACAAAATCAAACTGATTGCTCTGTCTATTTCAAGTGATATTCAAAGTTAGTGAATAGTGAATATATTGGTATTAGATATGTAATTTAAAAGACACTCTCTATGCTAACCGAACATTATTATTCATTCAAAATAAATTTAAAGAAACGATACACTCACAGCAAGAACTAGTTTGTATTATGTCAAGTATTTACGATACTACAAAGTTGGCATACGTAATTGTGCCATTACCGTAACAATTCTAAGTTCAAATATCATTAGTCATGTGGTATAAGTTACTTGTTTCCATACACATATTAATATGTCCAGTAATGTATAAATTATACTTCACCATGAATAGTGGACATTGGCAACCAAGCACGGACATGTTCGACTTGTGCAGAATCACACACTCATCGGAAATGATATTTGTTCAACCAAGGTGCGTATGAATTTGAAGATTCACGAGTCGGAAGAGCAATATATCACGCTATCGATGTCTAGTTCAATTAGATATATTTGAATACTCAGTTTATCTCGTCTCTTACAATTTGTGAAAACATGGCGGATATTTGCGCAGACTTATTGCAAACATTATATATTAATGAAAACCAAATATGTACTCTTCTCAATTCTTCCATATTTCGTAGTTTGGTTCGTATAATACCTTAGTAACCTGTTATTTGTAAGTTTTATCATAAAATAAGAAACTCAATGAAAGTAGTAGTCCCTTTCATGGCTCGTCGACTTTATGCATTGCATATACACTTGTAAATACTTATAAGATGCGAGAAGACTTTCGTTTTGAGAGAGGATTGCATCATGCACTTTGAAGACTTCGATCGTATTGCCGCCCGCCCCAATTTCGAAATGCAAAATGTATTCTAAACGTTTTAACGTAAAACTCACAATGTAAACAACAAGTTGACTAACTATTACAGGGACTTACTAAAATCGTATACAAATGAATTGAAAGAAACATAAAAAAGAACTCCCCAAACTATATATTTATATATCAAGTCTACTCTATTGCTACTATGTAACTTATTTATACTACTCTTGTTATCTCCAATGAAGTACGTTTATTTATTACTCTTGTATAATGTATGTGACGACATTTCGACATCAACCAAACCAAAATATCGATTGCACCTGTAACAAGAATCTTTTCATTGTGAACAAAATTTGCCAGCATAGGACAATCTTATTGCAAGTCGAATGTTATAAAGATAATTCGTAAATTATTATTCTTACATATGTATTTAATGAGAATATGATTGTAATATGTATTATTAATAATTCCTATGTGTCGAATATTTGTAGAGACGTTAGTGCACCGGACTTCAAATTTATTCAAAAATAACTCATTCAATGGAAAATATTTCTGGTTTGTTTTCATTCCAAATTTTGCTGATACCTGTTTGTCGTGATTCTCAACTTTGCGTAAAGCATCAAAGCAAAATAATAAAAATCGCCATTAAATTATTGTTGTTAACATTAAATAACACGTTCGTATGAAACATTCTTTAAGTGTTCCTTTTAATTATTGTTGATTATTTATTGCTAAATATATGACTACTGTTAATTCTTATACTAACTCAAACTTTTATTAAAATACCACATAAACTTTTCTTTGAAATAATTTTTATTTTTAAAAATAATAAATATAAAATTTGAAATGTCTAAGAAACAAATTTCATCAATCTTAATTGTGATTATAATTTGTAAATGAAAAACCATGAAAAACTAAAGAATTCGTATTCGATTGATTTAATATGTATGCTTGGTTGTATATAGTCAAGATCCATATGCCCATGATATTTTCCACTTATTCACTTGTTTTAAGGTTACGTGCGTGATGATATTAGAGTGTTCCTAAGTAAAATCAGTCACCAAAAAGTAAGAAAACTGAAAGATGAGTGATAAAGAACGCATGCCATCCGTTGATTTTTCGAAACTAAAGCAATCTGACTTGAACTTCATTAAGCTGGTGGAGAAGCAAAACCGGGAACGTGTGGAGAAACTGAAACGCATTCGCCGCAATAACAACATCACTGGTGCGATCATCGGATGCGGCGTTCTGGGTATCTATTTCTATTCTATGTACGCGGTGAGACAAGAGCGTTTCCTCGACGATTTTGACGAACCAATTAAGATAGTGGAAAAGCAATAGGTAGCATAATGGCAGCTCAGCAACTAAGATTGCCTCCTCTGCCTACTATTAGAGATTTAATTCGGTTATATAAGTTAAGAGCTCTAAAACAATTGTCACAGAACTTTTTGATGGATGAGAGAATAACAGATAAGTTTGTCAAAGCTGCTGGTAAGATTCACAACAATTATATTTGTGAAGTGGGACCAGGGCCAGGTGCTATCACCAGATCCATCATTAAAAGATGTCCTAAAAAGTTAATTGTGGTTGAGAAGGATCCTCGTTTTCTACCAACTTTGGAATTGTTACAAGAAGCTAGTCAAGGATTCACAGATATGCAGATTGAAATTGGGGATATTCGTTCATATAATTTTGAAGTTGGATTTCAAAACAACATCAAGTATGATTGGCTTGGATTGGTACCTCCCATTCATTTAGTTGGTAATTCTGTTTAATGTACAAGTATAGACAATAAATTTATTTTGTGTTAATTGTTTACTGTTTAGGAAATCTGCCATTTAGTGTGTCTACCATTTTGCTAGTTGATTGGCTGAATGCAATTTCACAAAAACGGTCAGCATGGTTGTTTGGTAGATCTACCATGACACTTACATTTCAGAAAGAAGTTGCTGAAAGAATAGTGGCCCAAGTCACAGAAAAACAACGTTGTCGCCTGTCAGTTATGTGCCAGATGTGGTGTGATGTTGACTACAAATTCACAATCCCAGGAACAGCATTTGTGCCTAAACCAGACGTCGACGTTGGTGTTGTAACTCTTATTCCAAAGAAATATCCTCTGGTGGATCTTCCTTTTGCGATGGTCGAAAAAGTGGTTCGAACTGTGTTTAACATGCGGCAAAAACATTGCCGAAGAGGAGTGGAAGTGCTGTTTCCTAAGGATTTGCGAGAAACTTTAGGCCCACGACTATTTCAGCTGGCAGACGTTGACTTCACCGCTAGACCGTTTGAACTCAGCAATGAAGAATTTGCTCGAGTTTGTTATGCGTATAAAATGCTTTCTGATCAATATCCTGAAATTGACGGTTATAATTTTAGAGCTTCAAAGCAGTAGTTACATATAGAATAAATATCCAACAAAACTATTTTATTAACTTGCAAAAAATTAATTAATTTTTCCTTGCGGATTTATACAAGTGTGTTCTAATTACCGGTGGATGTTTCTTGTGACCTAGTAAGTCTATCAATTTTATTTCGAAAATATATTGTAGCATACGAACAATAAACTGTGCAATTAGAAATAACTACACAGAGTGAATTATGTCGCTGTACTAAATTGTTGCATTATTAATATCTCTATATGAAGCTGAAAAAAAGCGGAGATTTTCATTTAAAATTTTAAGGTGAGCTCATGCGCAAGAAGCACCTCACTTAAACATAGTTCTATTGTTTGGACCAAGAGGGCGTGAGTATATTCTTACAGACATTTTATTGAGAAGCGTGTTCTCACTGCTCGATATGTGCTTTTATCAAAGACTTGTTTGTTATTTGTTTGTGTTCGGGTTAGTGTTCGTGTGTGCTGCACGTAGTTGATTGTTAACAACATTATAATTCTGCTAGTGCGTATTCACTTATTTGAAGGAATAATTGCTTTTATCATTCTCAGCATTTGTAGTAATAGATGATGTTTTTTGTTTTGTTTTTGTGAATGTTTTATAAGTGGATAATTAGTGGTACAAGTTTTGGTGAATTACGCGGGTTACGATCGTGAGGGATAACATTCTGTAAGTAATTAATAAATATACAATACATATTTCCTGCCAATTTACCTGGAACTTGTAAATGATAATATCAGTCTTTACATTCTGAATTTTCAATCCATTGTTGGTTATCGCGTATGATTTACGAGATAACCGCAACCGAAGATTCTTATTGAATTGCCTTGCGTCGCGTAAATCAAACCTTAGTATAATTTTTATAGTCAGGCGGTTCCCCACAGGTACACCTTCATCGTAATTTTGTACGTTTCTCAATTATTTTTCCCGGTATTATATACGATTCCTAATTACTCCATTCGACTGTGCACCACTGATGTGCGGTGTTCGTTAAACGTGGCATGAACAAACGCAAAGGTACCTCTGCTTGAGGCACTATATTATTCGTATTTACCGTCGGCCAACGGATACCCAACTTCATTGCAATACCAGCGGAAATTTTCGTATGTACGATACGCGAATTTCATCATTACATTACATCATTCATACAATATGCACAAATAACTTCCTTTCTTTCGTTCTATCTCTTATAGTTTGCGAGATAATCGCTATTGAAAAAAGTGGTAAAAACTCTTGTTTAGTTTAGAGGAAATTCGTTACCGAAAATATAATTTCCAATAATTTATAATTATAATTATAATTATAAAATAATTCAATTATAGCCTATCTTATAGAGATTTTTTCGTCGATTAAGAATAAGCGATTCGTTCCTTCCTATCTCTTTTAGTTTAGAAGATATAATCTTTTTTCATCTCTTAGATTTCCAATTTAACTTGCTTAGGTACTAGAGAATGGGAATCACTTCTACCGCTTCCTTCGTACGGTTCCTTGAATGGGAATCACTTCTACCGCTTCCTTCGTACGGTGCCCTGAATGGGAGTCACTTCTACCGTATCCTTCGTACCGTCCCCTGTGCTCAGTGCTAAGAGCAGAGATTTTTCTTGTTTGTCCCAGAATTTTCATCAGATTATCTCCGTGACAGCCTTTTCATATTGACTGCATTCTATTCTGGATTTTAAGATACATTGTTTATACCAGAGTACGTTCACAACGTACAATCTTTTCATTGCATTGGACTGCATTCACAATATGAATTGTTCATAGTTCTCACTCTTGATCCTTATGGTGTTTGTGCACACACAACTTTTTGTTACCGCGTTGCGGCGCGTCCGACTCGTTCAGCAGTGTTTGTTCTTATTTAGTCGATCGTGCGCCACCGCGAGGTAAAGACGCGTTTACTTGATCGGCGGTTTTGTGGCGACTAATCGCGTTTCTTGTAATTTTAAGTCGGTAGTTGAATTAAAATCGGTCAGCAAAGATAAGATTTAGATGTACCCGACGAGTACAGCGTATAGTTATTGAGATATCGCGTGTGGAACCGAGAATTGCGTGGTATTACAAGTTTTACACTTGTTTGCCGTCGGTCGGCAGATATCTCCCGTCGGCTAAGAATTCCTAGTGGTTTTGTTTTGTGTATTCATTTAATTATTAATTTGAATTACCACCACCATTTGTGCCTGTTGTGGAGTATTTCACCTACGAAAACGTAAAAAGGTGTGTTACATAAATATTATATTTTGTTATTATTTGACTAATTAAACAGTCAAATGTGGATTCATCACCCGAAAAGGAAAAACGATCAGTCAAATTAGTTGAAGCTCTGAAAATGGTCGCATTTAATCTACGATGTAAAGTAGTGCGTTCCGACGGCTGCCTATTCGCTTCCGTTAGGTTCTATTTATCGTACCTGATTATTGCTTTTGTATCTCTGTTTGTAATCGGCTTCATGTGTTTGCTAGTTTCTGGGTTTAAGAGTTAATGATTTAGTATTTCTTTAAAAGTAGTAATTATAATTATTAATAATTGTATTATTTATTATGTTCTATCCCCGCACCCATCACCTCTCCTGGATATCTTCCAGGTGGGAACAGGTAATATAACTTGTATTTCTTCTTTTCTTTTTTGTATCACCCTGTATATAAATTTTCCTTTTTGTTCAGCGAAAATTGAGCAATTTTTATTGTTTAGGGGTGATTTTTTTTAAATAGAAGATTTTCTTTTGACAACATCCTGTGTATACATTTTTCTTGCTCAGCAAAAAAATTGTCAATCTTTATTGTTCTTGTGGTAACACCCTTTATATAATTTTCCAGTGATGTCACGCGAAAACAAGATGCAATTTGCTATTTTCTAGCGTTATTCTTTGAAATTTGGTAGCAGTTTGCATGTCGTGGCTTTGTAGGTGATAAAGTTGTTTTAAAATGATGTCACGTGTTCTGTAGGAATTGAACTTGCAAATTCTGAAGTTGTATTGTATGTAATTTGTTAATAATGAAATATTAAAGCTTTCTATCATTTTAGGTATAGGTCAGAACAGGAAAGTATTTACTATTAAATTCTCCGGCGGGTTGTATTTATTTGTTGCTGGAATTCTTGATACAACTCGCGAAAATTTGCATAAAACTGTGATTTTTCATTGTTTTTCTGTAGAATGATTGTATTTTTTTGGGTTTACACGCGATCTAGGCGACCATTGATATCGTCGCGAGGGTGGATCGGATTGTAATTTGTATTTTTATTTCTCTTTCTTTTTTATTGTGGAGACGTAGTCTCCGATTGTTATTACATGTTATGGTTTACGTTCTATATGTTTCTATCCAACTCTTGAATAGCTTAGGTTTAGTGCCATTAATTCTAATTATTGGTAAATGACGATTGAGCAATTAACTGTTTTGCACACTCACACATACACACACGCATGCACGTAATGAAGAGCGAATCTCTAATTTAACTAGCCTATCTTATAGAGAAATTTTCGTAGGTTAAGGATATGCCATTCGATCCTCTCTATCTTATAGAGAAATTTTGGTAGGTTAAGGATATCTGATCCTCTCTATCTCTATTAGTTTAGAAGATATCGCAACGAACATGTTTCGATACAATGAGAAGACCCCCTCTTTGCATGATTTTTCTTTAACCCTATTTTTAAAATTGACATAATCTCTAATTTAACTAGCCTATCTTATAGAGAAATTTTCGTAGGTTAAGGATATGCCATTCGATCCTCTCTATCTCTGTTAGTTTAGAAGATATCGCAACGAACATGTTTCGATACAATGAGAAGACCCCCCTCTTTGCATGATTTTTTCTTAAACCCTATTTTTTAAAATTGACATAATCTCTAATTTAACTAGCCTATCTTATAGAGAAATTTTCGTAGGTTAAGGATATGCCATTCGATCCTCTCTATCTCTGTTAGTTTAGAAGATATCGCGATGAACATGTTTCGATACAATGAGAAGACCCCTCTCTTTGCATGATTTTTTCTTTAACCCTATTTTTTAAAATTGACATAATCTCTAATTTAACTAGCCTATCTTATAGAGAAATTTTCGTAGGTTAAGGATATGCCATTCGATCCTCTCTATCTCTGTTAGTTTAGAAGATATCGCAACGAACATGTTTCGATACAATGAGAAGACCCCCCTCTTTGCATGATTTTTTCTTAAACCCTATTTTTTAAAATTGACATAATCTCTAATTTAACTAGCCTATCTTATAGAGAAATTTTCGTAGGTTAAGGATATGCCATTCGATCCTCTCTATCTCTGTTAGTTTAGAAGATATCGCAACGAACATGTTTCGATACAATGAGAAGACCCCCCTCTTTGCATGATTTTTTCTTTAACCCTATTTTTTAAAATTGACATAATCTCTAATTTAACTAGCCTAACTTATAGAGAAATTTTCGTAGGTTAAGGATATGCCATTCGATCCTCTCTATCTCTATTAGTTTAGAAGATATCGCAACGAACATGTTGCATGATTTTTTCTTAAACCCTATTTTTTAAAATTGACATAATCTCTAATTTAACTAGCCTATCTTATAGAGAAATTTTCGTAGGTTAAGGATATGCCATTCGATCCTCTCTATCTCTGTTAGTTTAGAAGATATCGCGATGAACATGTTTCGATACAATGAGAAGACCCCTCTCTTTGCATGATTTTTTCTTAAACCCTATTTTTTAAAATTGACATAATCTCTAATTTAACTAGCCTATCTTATAGAGAAATTTTCGTAGGTTAAGGATATGCCATTCGATCCTCTCTATCTCTGTTAGTTTAGAAGATATCGCAACGAACATGTTTCGATACAATGAGAAGACCCCCCTCTTTGCATGATTTTTTCTTAAACCCTATTTTTTAAAATTGACATAATCTCTAATTTAACTAGATTTTTCTTTAACCCTATTTTTAAAATTGACATAATCTCTAATTTAATAGCCTATCTTATAGAGAAATTTTCGTAGGTTAAGGATATGCCATTCGATCCTCTCTATCTCTGTTAGTTTAGAAGATATCGCAACGAACATGTTTCGATACAATGAGAAGACCCCCCTCTTTGCATGATTTTTCTTTAACCCTATTTTTAAAATTGACATAATCTCTAATTTAACTAGCCTATCTTATAGAGAAATTTTCGTAGGTTAAGGATATGCCATTCGATCCTCTCTATCTCTGTTAGTTTAGAAGATATCGCAACGAACATGTTTCGATACAATGAGAAGACCCCCCTCTTTGCATGATTTTTTCTTAAACCCTATTTTTTAAAATTGACATAATCTCTAATTTAACTAGCCTATCTTATAGAGAAATTTTCGTAGGTTAAGGATATGCCATTCGATCCTCTCTATCTCTGTTAGTTTAGAAGATATCGCAACGAACATGTTTCGATACAATGAGAAGACCCCTCTCTTTGCATGATTTTTTCTTAAACCCTATTTTTTAAAATTGACATAATCTCTAATTTAACTAGCCTATCTTATAGAGAAATTTTCGTAGGTTAAGGATATGCCATTCGATCCTCTCTATCTCTGTTAGTTTAGAAGATATCGCGATGAACATGTTTCGATACAATGAGAAGACCCTTATAGAGAAATTTTCGTAGGTTAAGGATATGCCTCTTCGCGATGAACATGTTTCGATACAATGAGAAGACCCTCTCTCGTAGGTTAAGGATATGCCATTCGATCCTCTCTATCTCTGTTAGTTTAGAAGATATCGCGATGAACATGTTTCGATACAATGAGAAGACCCCCCTCTTTGCATGATTTTTTCTTAAACCCTATTTTTTAAAATTGACATAATCTCTAATTTAACTAGCCTATCTTATAGAGAAATTTTCGTAGGTTAAGGATATGCCATTCGATCTCTATCTCTGTTAGTTTAGAAGATATCTCTGTTAGTTTAGAAGATATCGCAATAGAGAACATGTGCCATGTTTCGATGCATGATTTTTTCTTTTTGACATAATCTCTAATTTAACTAGCCTATCTTATAGAGAAATTTTCGTAGGTTTATGCCAACCCTATTTTTTAAAATTGACATAATCTCTAATTTAACTAGCCTATCTTATAGAGAAATTTTCGTAGGTTAAGGATATGCCATTCGATCCTCTCTATCTCTGTTAGTTTAGAAGATATCGCAACGAACATGTTTCGATACAATGAGAAGACCCCCCTCTTTGCATGATTTTTTCTTTAACCCTATTTTTTAAAATTGACATAATCTCTAATTTAACTAGCCTAACTTATAGAGAAATTTTCGTAGGTTAAGGATATGCCATTCGATCCTCTCTATCTCTGTTAGTTTAGAAGATATCGCAACGAACATGTTTCGATACAATGAGAAGACCCCCCTCTTTGCATGATTTTTCTTTAACCCTATTTTTAAAATTGACATAATCTCTAATTTAACTAGCCTATCTTATAGAGAAATTTTCGTAGGTTAAGGATATGCCATTCGATCCTCTCTATCTCTGTTAGTTTAGAAGATATCGCAACGAACATGTTTCGATACAATGAGAAGACCCCCTCTTTGCATGATTTTTTCTTTAACCCTATTTTTTAAAATTGACATAATCTCTAATTTAACTAGCCTATCTTATAGAGAAATTTTCGTAGGTTAAGGATATGCCATTCGATCCTCTCTATCTCTGTTAGTTTAGAAGATATCGCGATGAACATGTTTCGATACAATGAGATCTGGTTTTATTTTATATAGATTTTTCAAACTTTCCCTCTTTGCATGATTTTTCTTCATGTAACCCTATTTTTTAAAATTGACATAATCTCTAATTTAACTAGCCTGCTGCCGCGTGGTAAAGACGCGTTTACTTGATCGGCGGCTTTCGTGGCGACTAATCGCGTTTCTTGTGATTTTAAGTTAGTAGTTGAATTAAAATCGGTCAACAAAGGTAAGATTTAGATGTGCTCGATGAGTGCGGTGTATAGTTATTGAGATATCGCGCGTGGAACCCAGAATTGCGTGGTTTTATAAGATACACACGTGTTTGCCGTCGGCCGGCGGATATCTCCCGTCGGCTAAGAATTCCTTGTAGTAATGTTTTGTGTATTCATTTAATTAATAATTTGAATAACCACCACCATTTGTGCCTTTTGTGGAATATTCTACCGACGAAAACGTAAGAAAATGCGTAACATAAATATTATATTCTGTTATTATTCGACTAATTAAACAGTCAAATGTGGAGTCATCACCCGATAAGGAAACACGATCAGGCAAATTAGTAGAAGTTTTGAAAATGGTCGCATTTAATCCTGGCTGGAATGCAAGTAGTGTAATATTGTCGCGTTCCGTCGGCTGCCTATTCGCTTCCGTTAGGTTCCGTTTATGGTGCCTGATTATTGCTTTTGTATTTTATTTCTGTTTGTAATCGGCTTCACGTGTTTGCTAGTGTCTGGGTTTAAGAGATCATGATTTAGTATTTTTTTATAAGTTGTAATTACAATTAATAATAATTGTTTTATTTATTATGTTCTATCCCCGCAGCTATCACCTCTTCTGGATATCCAGGTGGAAACGGGTAATAGAACTTGAATTTTTGTTTTCTTTTTTGTATCACCCTGTATATAAATTTTCCTTTATGCTCAGCGGAAAATGAGCAATCTTTATTGTTTTGTGGTGATTTTCTTTATAAATAGAAGATTTTCTTTTGACAACACCCTGTATATAAATTTTTCTTGTTCAGCAAAAAAGTTGCCAATCTTTTATGCTTTGAAGCCATTTTCTTTTTTACATTGTAGATTTTCTTTTGGTAACACCCTGTATATCAATTTTCCGTTATGTCACGAAAAAATAGCCATATTTGTAGTGTTTGAAAGTTTGTCGTTGACGTATATTCTAAAATGAAGTTGTTTTCTTTTTGTAACACCCTGTATATTAGTTTCCTTGATTGTCTAGTGAAAACGAGCAAGATTTATAGTGTTCACTGCTTGCACTTTAAATTTTCATTTTGTAACACCCTGTATATTTGTTTTCATTTTCTATAACGTAGAAAATTAACTATTTGTTAATTTGTTTATCCCGGTAGAACATTATTACGTGGTACTTGCTTACATGTGCGTGGCTATGCAGGTCGTAAGTCCTATTACAACATGGCGGTACGTATTTGGTTGACTTGTAAAATCTAAACTTGTATTCTATTGTTAATAAAGAAACAGTAAGATATATTGACTTCTTTGATTTGTGTGTACCCCTTCTATGATTTCAGAAACAGTTCCCTCTCTCAGGGGATGATCCCCACTATAAAAATTGTTAAGGTATCCTGTGTGATTTGTGTGCTCCTTCTTTCATTTCAGCTACAGGTCAGAACTTGTAAGAATATTTTTAAGTGTCGCCTCTCTTGAGACGACTTAAAACTTAGAAATATTTAAACAAGACCTCATAAGGATTGTCCTTATAAGGAGTTCCCTCTCTCTGGGGGTGATCCCCCACCATAAAAATTGTTGATATGCCTGATAATTCCGGGGATGAAGCGCAGAGACATCGCAGCTGTAGGATGGGCCGGGAGCAATGGACGCAACGAAGCAGTGGGCGAACGACCGTAGACTGTCTTATAACGACACGTGCCAAAAAATTTAAAAATCTGATCCTCCCCTGGTTCTCTTTCTTCTATCTCCTCTTCTCTACTCTCTGTTCTCTTCCTTTCTTCTCTCCTCTCTCCTCCTCTTCTGGTTCTTATTCTCCTTTTCCTTGTTCTCGTTTCTCCATTTACTTTCTTACTTCCCTTATTGCCTTCACTTGTATTTCAATTTCTCTTATATTTCGTTGCAATTCATATATGCAACCCAAATTACACCTGATATTTTTTATATTTGAGAAAAATACCTTCTATACCTGAGATTCGATCCGTGCCTAGTAGCATGCCAGCAGGTGCACGTCTCCACTCGACCACCGAGTGTTTTTATCATTGTAATTTGATTCTTCTATTTATGTTTCTACTCTAATCATGTTTTTAAATACATTTATTCTGTTGCATAGGCAACCCACATTACTCGGATTTATTTCGATATTTAAGAAAATATCTTTTCTCTACTGGGATTCGAACCACGAATCTCTAAGATACAAGTATAGGCACACGCACCTGAGCCATCGAGTTCTCTTATCGTACCTAATTCGTTTCAGGTATAAATGCTACACTTCTGTTCAAGTCTTTAAAAACAACAACACTTATATTGCGTATACCTGCATATAAACGCATGCAATCAAATGTTTTATTTAAAATCTATTCTGAAAATAACAAAGAGGATTCATAAAGAAATACACTTGCTATTATAATATTAATTTATATTTCATTAAAAGTCATACAATCACAAACGCATAGTAAGCATAGTTATGTTACTCATTTTATTGTTCCTGTACTAAATTCAACTTTCTACGCGCTATTCAAACGCACCTTATTTGTAAATCAAAATCTCATTTTTAATCAGATCCCGTGCGACTATCCTGCGAAAATACGTTGTAAAAAAACTCCAATATGTTTCTAACAGAAATCTGTTATTTCTAACAGAAATCAGAAATTTGTTAATTTCCATCAAATTCTCCAATTGGAAAACATGACGCGTTTAGTTTTGCGTTCCTGCATTGTGTAACTTCCACATTTCCACACTCATTCACAACAGAAATTATACACAATGGCGTTATATGCCAGCACTACAAACAATAACAAAACTTTTCACGATTGGTAACCATAAGAAATACTCACCGGTGATAACAGCCAACTAGACCTGACTCGGCAACGCGGACACAGACTAACCGCAAAGGCGCCATGAAATTCGGCGCGTTTTCTCTCAAAGATGACAAGTTGCTTATACCGAACACCGTTTAGTGTCCATAGTAAAAATCAAGTAGAATGAATGAACGAAACTACAAATTATGCACTACCGTAAAATAAGACCGGCGCACAACGTGAACCGAACCAGACTGAGTGCATGTGGTGCTTGCTAAACAAATCGTTGTTGATAAATCCCCACTGCTTCCCGATTTCCACTTTAATATTGCTACAGAACATATACAATTTATATTTATGATTTATAATATGATTAATAGTTTATTTTAACAATATACAGTATGAGATGAACAGACATTCAATTCTTCCATTTTATCTTATTGACTGGACAATTTAACAATATTAATTATTAAATACAGTGAGCATTCATACATCTCCTCATTAAATTTTCTTAATTATATTACTTTGTTGTCAATAACAATGGAGAATACTTATTACACAAGGTTTTGTAAATATTCGAATGTCATGTTAGTATGTCGTACCAATTTATGAAAATTTTCCATAATACCTTCGATTTATTTTGATTATTACAAAAATTCATAAGTACATATTACTGAAATTCGAAACGAACCAGTTTTGCAGATGCCCGAGACAAAAAATTAGAACACGAGGTATGTTAAGTCTAACCAGCGATCTAATTTGTTGCACCGTGCATTAAATACATATTACACATGGCGGATTGTATGAATTATATCATAAAAAGGCACTTCTTTCTCAAACCTCTAAAACTTGTTATTTCTTTTATGAAAACTGGAAGGTATCAGTTTCAATTATAATATCTGATAATAAGAATAATCAATCGTTACTGCAGAATTATTAATAATACTCTTGTACAATATTTACAATTAAAATGTGAAGCTCTTAATATGTATAAATGTAAAATTTATATTGTGTGAAATAAATACAATTTTCTTTTCTTATGACAATTGAACTACGACTATGCTGAATGATTGTATTACCATGTTTGCGGTGTTAATTTTGAATTCACAAAGTTCTTCCTTCAAATTGCATATCATTTGGGTACTTTTGCTTTCTTTATAGTTATCTAATGAGTTTCAATGTTTAGCGAGGTTAATAATTACCTATGTTTTACCTTTTAAATACTGGATTAACTAGATAGAGCAATTTGTAATTTATTTATTAACCTTATCGACACACCCATTATACCCTATTTGTCCGTAACAAAACTTGGTGGGTACGTGCCAACAGATTCAAAAAACAAAATAAACTATTCGCAGTATTATGGTTTAGAAGATAAGTATACTAACGACGCAAACGAGCGAAGCAAATTATGGAAACTTTTATATATATAAAAAACAAACTCAAAACTGCTTTTAATCGTAACAGTTGCGAAGATAAAGTTGTAAATTAAAACGAACAACGTAAAAATATCCTCGGAACTACAATGACATTAATTAATGCGACATTATTACACGTATATTGAAAACGTAAGAATAATTCTAAATATAAACGAAAACTTATACTCACTAAAAACGAAATTGCAGAAGCAACGCTAGAAAGGCTCCAACATCCAATTCGAAAATTTAACTTTGGTTGATTGTTTGGACTAGTAGATAATGAATTTTTACATTAACACCAATTTGTATTAAATGTGTGAGAATCTAACGAACTTAAAATAAAATAAACGAAAAATATGAAACCGAACTAAATGCATGCATAAATAAGAAACCTAATCTGTTACAACGTTATTGTAAGACATCATCACCTAGCCTAAAATTTATATACAATCATCACATTGTGTAAATATCAAATGATTAATTAGTATTCTTTGTCGTCCTCTTAAGTATCGATTGATTAATGAAAATGTACACGTGAGTCTTTAGCCCCTTATCAATATATCTTTGATAATTTGCATTGGAATGATCTAACGTTGTATTATATACGTTATATGAACATATTTTGTCGGGTGTGTGGTTTGAACACCAATTAAGAAACGCGTATCATTTGGCTTACAAATTGAGCAAAATTCAAAGATCAGCACGGACACTTAGAACGATTATTCATTGCAATTATATTCGTATCTTAAAGGCAAATCAATAATATTATTTATCAGCCTTGATTATGTCGCCATAATGTAACATGGTTTTCGTTTAGCACTTGCCCAAACATTTACACTGTCTGTTGCTAATAAAGTAGTAAATTCGTTTGCACGATTGTATTGTCCTGATTGTAAATCATTGCAGCACGATGTGTCCATCCACACACTAATTTATCTAGTTCAACTAACTAGTCTATTCGATTTATCAATATCAGACTTTGAATCCACTCGACGAATCTTCTCTTGAGTATCATGAAGCTTAACGACGCACGCGAAACGAAATAACGAACACAATCACGCTTTTTACAAGATGTACAAAACTTCCCCCTTATCTCATACAAGATGTCCTTCTTGTTCGTTTACACTATATCCATTGCCAAAGCTGCTCATTTCTCGCTTTTGATTGAGCGTCTGCGCTTGCAGAATCTGCGAATTCTGATTCGTATTATGAAGCACATCCGGCGGCGGGACTGCTGAATGCTGATGGCGTAAAAGTGATCCATTTAATGGAAGGGGTGGTGTTGCCGGCGTCAAGTGACTGAGATGCGGGTGCACAGGAATCGGCGGTGGATTCTGAAAATCCAATGGCGGCGGATAGGATAAGTAACGGTCGGACATGTTAAAGTAAGAACCGTCTGCCGGTGGTGCCGGCGATGGTGCACTCACGTATGACGACTTCGCTATAAATAGATAAACAATGCAAACGGTTACGACACATGCGGCAACTCGAAGTTAATCACATGCACAAGATTATGTAATTACCTGACATACTGCCATGATAGCCCAGAATTTGATCATCGCGCGCGCGGTTGCGGTCTATGTGATGCTGGTGCTGGTGGTGGTGGTGTGGATGCGGCAGGGTGTGAGTTTTGTGCGCCATGTTCGGTTGAATTTGCATTTCGTATCCTGGACAAACAGGATAGGACTGATAATCCTGTTGGTCCATGAGATAAGTGCTCGCCGCTTGTTTTCTACCTTCGTCCTGCAGCACAGATGAGAGAAACGTTTAATTTAATATATACCGAGGAGAGTAGAGGAGCGGTAAAAGACAATGTAGGAAAGATTAGAACTTTCGATATTACCACGTATTCATTGTTGCTGCCCTCGTTGCTATAGGTCTCGCTCTTTTCACTAACGGATGATAAGGTTTCGCCGGTTACGGTGTCGTTGTAGCTGCTTGGGGCATACATTTCGATCGTCGCCGACTTGCTGCTTTGATTGCCTTGATCTATTAAGAGAGGAATCATTAGTAAATGTCACTATCACTGCACTTTGATAAATTACATTGGAATGCAAAATTGATAAACAAAAACGAACTAAATATTAAACAAAATAAAACAAACCTCTAATACGTTTCGCACGCTTTCTAAAAACACAACCAGCTACCAACACAATATTGATCAGCAGCAAAATAACTCCAATGCATGAAACACTTATAATAACAAGTCTCGGAAGATCTTGTTTGTCAAGTAAATCTTCCGGAATGACTTTTTCCACATGATCACTATAAACTGAAACACAAAAACCACAATCAATTACCTGCAAGACGTTTCTTTGCTCTGCGATGAACGCAGCAGCCGATTAACAGGATATTCATCAATATGATTATAGTGCCCACAACTGTGCCCGCAATTATTAGAAAGCCAGGAAAATTTTTGAAGTTCTTTTCATCCAAACTAGGTGAATGGTATGAAGGAGGTACTTTATCTATATAAATTGAAAGTTTAGTAAGCTCTTCACGTTAGTATTGATTACAAATAGCAGATGCGGTATTAAAAATGTGTGCATTGGATTTTATCGTATCAACTTACTTGACGTCTTTGCACTGACGATATCAGGCATGTATTTGCTATTGCCGAGTTTGTTCATAGCCATGATAGAAAAGACGTATCCAGTACTGAGTTCTAATCCCTTGACAGTGTATTGACTGACGTTGTGAGGTAATACGTCTTCATATTTGTAGCCGACATCATTGATCTCGCGATACCTGATACGGTAACTTGCTTTCATGCCGCCATCAAACCCTGGAGTCCATTGCAGGGTTACACTCTCATGCGTTACGTTGGCAACTTCCAGCAAGGTTGGGGTATCAGGCGCTGATGTCACTTCCAGACGGGGTGAGTTTGTCGCAAAGCCCAAGTCATTCCTAGCCACGCATTCATAGTTACCATAATCAGAGGATGAAACGTGCGTTATAATCAACGTGGATTCCGATACAAGCGCATCGATTTGCCTGTAGGTGGTGAAATATTTGCCGGTGGTGTTGGCATTGATTGGGGACCCGGCACGTGCCCACGTGAATTTCGCCAAAGGCGAGGCCGAAGCGCGGCAGGTGATTTTGGCAGATTCGCCAGCATCGCTGGCAAACTTCATTAGGATCGGGGATTTATCCATTTCGGGCTTATCTATATTAGGAATAAATTCGTTAGAGCATATTTCACTTCGTGACAACGCATAAAACTTTACGTTTTACGATGAGCATAACGTCCTTGGTTGTCGTATTCCCTATGCCGTTGTTGACTATGCACTTAAACTTGCCGAGATCCTCTCTGCTGACTGCGCTAATTCGTAAAAATGATGTGCCATTTTTGTCATACATAGTCGACGTCCTGGCCATAAAGTCGGGAAAGTCATCGCGCTTCCACGTGATGAACTCGTCGCTCATGGGGTTGCCGGTGGCAGTGCATGAAATTGTGGCGTCTTCTTTGGGACTCACAATGACGTTCTCACTTGTCCCGGTGATGGAAGCGGCAACTAAAAACGCATCCACAAATCAAATCAAATGTCAGAAGCCATATTATTTTTACGGATGATAGATATTTCATAAAATTCTATCTAACCCACAGTTGATTGATCGACTTACATTGCACAGTCACATTGATGCTGGTCATTGTACTGCCTTGAGAATTAATGGCTTCGCATGAATAAATCCCGCCGTCGTTGCGACTAAGCTTGGTGATATTGAGCACACCTCCCTCCGATATTATGCGTTCCATACCGGTGCTGCTAGATGATTGAATAATGGGTAACCCGTCTTTCGTCCAAGTGTACTGAATGTTTTGCGGATTTCCTTCGGCCTTCAGGGAAATTATCAGCGGCTCATACTCGACTCCAGTTACAGCTTTCTCGTTCTCTTTATCAAAAACTGGCTTATCTGAAAAGAAATAAAGTTTGTGATGCCGCGTATTGATACTAACACCGTGTTAGATTGGGTGTATAAAATCGGATATAAACTTACATAAAACTTGGAGCGTGATGGCATCGTGCACGGAACGTTGAAGGGCTTCGTTCTTAGCTTGGCAAGTGTAAATGATGCCATTCATTTGCTCTGTGATATTTAGTTTCAGCTCCAAACTAGATACCTTTCCACCGTGTAGCCCAGCTTTCGTAACATTATTCAATCCCAGCACAGGGATGCCTTCTCGCCACCAAGATAATTTTGCCGGAGGATTACTTGAACTGGAATCGCATGTAAGTGTCGCTTCTTCGTTGGGTTTCAGCTCAACTGGGTCTTTTCTAATTTTGACAGTTTCGGGAGCAACTGCAAAATAATAATTTGTGATAAAAAAAAACGCTTTAACGACGGTGATTTTAGTTGGGTTTGCAGAAAGATGCTTTTTTACAAAGAAAAAGGAAAAAAGCCACTTACAATGGACACTCATAGTGACGGTCTCAAATAATGGGATCTCAGTGGCAGAGTTCGCCGCCTCGCAGCGGTACCGCGCCTCGTTGTCGGTGACGTTGGTGAGAATCGTTATCTCGGCCGATACAGATTTGTCAAGGGTTTTTAGTGTCGAATGGATTTTCTTGTCGTTCTTATACCAGGTCATTGTGGGCAGTGGATTGCCACCAGATGATGTGCAGGAAATTTTTTGTACAGTACCGGCGGCGATCGGTTGGCCCTGCGTATAGCCATGAATGAACGGTTGACTCGGTGGATCTAAACCAATTTTTTGCGTTAGTTTTCGCCGGAATTATTAATAAAATGTGAGGAGACAAGTGTCATAAACTTAAGTTTCTTACATAAAACATTAATGGTGTGCGTAGACACGACATTCTCAGTTAATTGCATGTTAAGACCGTGACAAACGACCACCAAACCGCGCCGGTGCTCGACGACAGCTGTGATATTTGAAGTCGTTATCCAGCCACCGGCAGGCGAGACCACAGTGCGGGATGTTGCATTCTTTACTTGACGCCCGGCAACCATCCACTTGATATCGGCAGGTGGATTGCTGTTGGCAGTGGTGCAAGTCAGTGGGACGGGTCACCGACACGTGCTTCTGTTGGACCAGAGATTGTAACATGTGCCGGCGAAACTGAAAACAAATCACCAATGATGTTGAGTTCGGATTGTTATAATGCGATATAATACGATCACAGCAAATATAATTAGGCAATTATGTTAATGATATCACTTCGACTCGTGCGGAGACTTGACTAACGTGTATAAATTAACTTACATAAAACGGTCATGTCGATTTCGGCTTTCAATGACGTCTTGGACATGACATTACTGGCCTCGCATTTGTACCGTGCTTTATTATCGCTGGCATCTGCCGTGAAAGTGTAGACGTTCTCGGAGATCCTGCCAGATGTTCGATAGGCCATCCTTATCTGCTCTCCATTCTTATACCAAATTAATTGGGCAGGTGGATTTCCGCCCCGGCTTCTACATATTAATTCAACGTTCTGTCCCCGACGAAACGTTTCGCCATCCGTGTAGCCTTCGATGTACGGAAGTCCCGGCGGATCTGCAATTCACTTTGTATAGTCGCTGAACACGGCACTTGTGGTGTAAGTATACAAAAATGGGAAGAACAAAAGAACGTCTAAGCCCAGTGGCAAAACAGGAATGTTACAATATCTACATACATAATACACTGAGCTCCACCGAAGTTCGCATATCGGATGAAAGGGCCTCGTGCTTTGCCTCGCAGGTGTACTTAGCAAGATCGTCCTCGGAGGTGGGCTTTATCGAAATGCGCGAGTGTGTGTCGTAGCGCGTAATTTTCCGGTGATTACCATTGCTCGACTCTTCGATGGTCTGATCCTCGCGATTGGCTGCAAGTGAAATTTGCATTTACTTTCGATGTTCGCCCCAAAAATAAGGCGCATCCTGTTGTGTAATACTCACGAATATTCAGCTCGGCCTTCTCCCGGTACCAGACTATTTTGGCAGCGGGCTTGGCGTTGCGAGCGCGGCATTCCAAATGGAATTCCTGATTTTCTTTGATCTCCAGCTTCGAGTTCGGCGCATGGTCTAGTATTTCCACCAACGAGGGCGGTGCTGAAATTAATTATTCGATTAGTTTGTTTGTGAAAATGTTTTCGTGGCACGAAAACGCCAGATTTAAATTTAATAATACTTTATTAGAATATGACAGAAACAGAGACCATGCGGTTTGTGGGTCACGGGGATGCGGCTGAAGTTTAAATTGTTCAAACGCGGCCGAGGGAAATAGAGATGGCGGGCATCCTGTGAGGGAAGGTTTTACACTCTACTGCCATAGTTAATAACGAATGGTCACTATGTATTTGTCGCACGTACCGCCACATCTCACTAAACTCTGTTAGGTGGGCGAGAGACGGCGCTGGCCTATGTAAAGACAATGCTTCAGATGTGTGTAAACTAATAAAGTGGACGATTTGAGATTTGGTGCACGTAGCTCGACTGGGGTTATATGGGTAACGCAAAGCATCCCCCTTGTTCCAAACCCGGGCATCAGGTCAGCGAATAGAGGCATAAATATTTGGCGACAATAGATATGAAACTGGACGCAATAGCAACGTTATTATTCTGATCGTAAACAAAAAATCAGAATCAATCAAAAAACAGCATTCGCGACATATATAAATCCTATAGTCACAAAACAGGAAATTGTTTTGATACGCTGTTAATGTTCTATTTTGCAGCAACCTACCAAAAAATCGAAGCGTTACTTTTTAGTGAGAGTTTAAGCTGCTGCCTCGCGTCTGGATAAATACACAGTTTTCATGATAGCTAATAAAGAGAAAAGAGAAGTTGACTGGGTATCCTGGATGAACACTCTCGCTGGCCCAACGCCAAGCCAGCAGGCTCTCGTTCAACTTAGCGCGCCCCCGACCACCGGAATCGAACACGCAGCCCGTAAAACTAACTTCCTCTCCACCTTTATTTCGCCCGCTCGACGAAACACAAAACCTCTCCCGGCAGACGCAGCCTGATGCCAGGTCGAGAAATTCTTCTTCCGTCTGCCTCCGCACATTGCTACGCCAAATTTAACTTCTTCCTCTATTGGTGACGTGTATGCGAGTCGTTCCGACATCGCCCGCATGCTCTAATTGAAAATATACGTTATATAATTACTACCGAACGTTTTCGCGTACAGTGCACAGGAAAAACGACAAAGCTCATGATGTCGATACTTCCTCATTGTCTTCAATTAGATGTGATTAATGTAGCATTATTGATCAACGATAAATTTCCCGACAAATTGTTTTGGTTGATATTGTTATTTTTCTCCAAGTTCCGCTTCGGTAAATTTGATTTGCATCGTGTGTTATGTGCCCGCACATACAACATCTACACAATTTCCCACCACATGCCAAAATCCATTAGGTTAAAATTCCGGCTTGGCGAAGTTTATGCCCGGCGCATCCACCTCGCCTTGGGTGTCGAACTCACGCACATACAATAAACCCGCATCGCCGGTGCAAAACCGCATTAACAAAGTTACTCTATAAATCCGACGTTAAATCGATGTAACACCTGTCACACGGCGCGGTGAATTCTTGACGCGCGAAGTTTACTAATTTATATCATTACCATCTTATGGTAAAGTAACCCGCGCGCGCTCTCGCACTCCTTTGACGCAACGAGGGCAGGATCTGTTACGATCCCAGTCACATTTGAATATTTGCACAAACGGAAAGTTTACACCTGAGTTTCGCAAGGGCGGCAACAGTATCAGTCGCTCATCATATTAACACCAACGAATGCAACCCCACGATGTGCGGCGTGTAAACATCAAACGGTTTTGCCATCATGGAAAGACTGAATACCCTTCTTCCCGAACGCAGTTCTTATGAACAGGTGCTACTTTTTGAATAGTCTTTCAATTACGTCGACACGCTGAATGACACCATTATTCACTCGGCTAGATAGTTAGCGACTTGTACACTCATAAGTCATGTGCAAACGCGTACGCACTCGACTCAGAGTGCGTTGTGGGGTGTGAGACGACACCGACGTATTAAATTCATTGTTGTTACGTGATGTAATAAAGATTTAATGGTGACAAGTCGCCATTACTCACAGCAGCTTCCAAGTTAACTCAAAGTCGGCGACACGAGAAAAACATGCCAAACAAAGAGTAGAAATTCTTTAGCTTTAGAATCTGTACTCAATTTTTTTCAAGCTACGCAGAGTGCTAGAGTTGCAGCATTTTAAATGAATGCAGAGGGTACAAAAAAAACTAGGATTTTATACGAAATTGTGCCAAAACGTCCTCGGTCCTGTTTTATATAGCCATAACGATTAAAATCTCTACTCTCAGCAGCTATTGTTTTCTTTGGCTGCATGCTAAGAGGACGAAATTGCCCCGGCCAGCCCCCAACTCGTCGCTAAAAGGACAAGTAAAAAGACCTAATAAATAACGCGCGCGCGAGATGGCAAACATCGCCGAGGTTTTTACTAGACAAGGAAGACATTCATCCCGCCAGCGCATGGCGTCGTTAGAACTAAACAAACCTAGACGTATTACGTTTATAGCTGTAAATCTGCCACGCGAGTGGTATTGCCGTCTCGAGTTTCGGCTGACATAATTTACAATATCACATGAAGAAATATTACCCAGTGATAAATCCGAATGCCGTTGCGTCGGCGACCCCATCGCGCAGAGCGGCTACAGCAACAACGACGCAACGCGCTCGCATTTTCCTTTCCGACCGGCTTATCGTTGAATAAACCCGATAAATGCTGTTTTATACCGAACACAATTAGCTACTCCACCGATGTTTGCTAAACATTAGCCGCTGCGGAGTGCTGGAGTACTACCGCACGAATGGAAGCAAAGCCGTTTTCATGCAAGAACTCTATTAGATTAAATCAATAGATAAACATGAGGCAAACTGGATAAGGTACTTGAATTCCGGGATGATTAAAACTTTCCTAATACGTAATTAATGGAAATTATTTGGGTGCAAGCAGAGTTGTTGTGCTTTTATTGATCGCAGCGTCCATACCGCATCCCCACCTAAAACCCTTAGAATACAACAACTGTCACAGCTCTTAATTAATTTCCCTCAGTAATATTATTATCTGAAAAAATACTACAAATTTAGCAATTTGGAATATTTTGGGAACTAAATAGAATTGAGTTTCATCTCTGTAAACCAAGTGGAAGCTCAAAGCTCAGAATAATTACACCGCTGAAACAGTAACTTTGTAGATCATCAAAATCAAATCACACAATCTTCTTTGCCGCCCACTGAATTAGCAGTTTCGGCTCTGAACACGTGTTCGGCACCCTCGAACAATGCGCTGGGAGCCATAATAATGCAAAGCTAATTGTCGTTGCGAGATTACTCGCGATCAACGTCGAGATTATTCCGCAGGTGTTAATAGCAATCGAAATCGATTTCAGACTCAAGCTCGTTAATAAACGAAAGCGACTATACACTGCAACGGGAACTGCGCGCACGCCTGCATGCGGAACGGATCATGGCGGAATACCTATTGTGTTTTCCAATTAAATATTTATCTTATTTCGATGGCAAGTGGTTCAGCGATTGCTTAATATATCAACACGTCGCGTCGCATTGGTTAGCGCCTGCCGACTATTCATAATCAATCTCATCAGTGCAAAAACCCGATGAGCTTTACCATAACCAAAGTTGTGGCGTTCTTAATTAATCGGTGATTGAAATGATTAGCCATATGTATATTTATTGGTCGCGCCGTTATTTGCAATTAGTTGCGAGTTGTGGCAAAAACTAATGCGAGCTTGCATCGCCTCGATGTCGCACGGCTTTCGCGGTTGATTATCGCGTATTGGCCGTGCGGAATATTCTATCAACGTGCCATTCATCACGTTCGCGCGCAATTATTCGACGCGTATTAGTTAAACGCGACGGTGTGGTCAGGGGAGGCTTTTATAATTACTTTAAAACTTGCCAGTTAACAATGGCCAAACAAGCGCACCACCCTCGGCCATCAATAATCGAAATTCGTGCGCTGGCCAAACGCAAATTGCGTGATTGATTGTTGAATTTTGTTTTGGGTGCAAAATAATGTATTTGGATAGAATGGCGAATGGTGTGAGTGCGTGTGTTACAGCCGCAGGGTCAAATGATGAATGTAAATGGAAAATTTTGGGCGCATTCCAACTCAAGCACAAAATGTGAAATGTATGCTTCAAATTCGCAACATTTTCATGCAGCAAAAAAAGTTATGTGCCCAAGCTTAATAAAGGAATTTAACCCTTTAATTAGTATCTGATGGTCAATCATTCTCAAGTATTTGATAAAAACTGAAAACTCCCAGCTAAAGTTAATATTAAATCGAAGAACAAAATACGTTTCAAGTCCTTTCGTACTTAAATATTAAAACACCAGGAAGATAACATTGGAGTAAGTAGAACCCCAGGGAATTGAACACAACGCTGATGGAGAAAAGAAAAGCATCTTTTCTAAAAAAAAAAAAGACTTACATATTACGGCGAGTTTTGCGTTGGCCCTGATTGCCTTATGAAATCTATGGGGTCCTACTTGGCACTGATACTCAGCGTCGTCCTCCAGAGACGCGTTGCTGATCCTGAGATTGTACACGCCGTGTCGTCGGTCGCCTATCACCGAATACCTGGGAAAGCCGGGTATCTCAGTCTTGAAGCCTGCAACAAACAAGACAGTATGGTGAGTACCGAAGAAGAAAACAAAACAAAAAAATTGAATATGTATTTTGACATAAAACTTGGCAAAAGTAAAATGTACATTGTATTGTGTCCAAAACTGAATGATGCGCATCTTTCTTTCGCCCAAAGAAAAACAAACAAAAAATAATAAAACGGAAACGCGTCCCATGTGAGTTTTCAAGACCTGAACCCTTGTTTACGAAAGGACAAGCGAATTCATTTGCGAATGTCTCCGGAGGTGTCACGATGAGAAATGTTCTCGGTGCGCTCAATTATTATACGTTGAGAACCCTCACGCATGCAAATTTGACATCATGAGTTGATATGAGAACAAAGAAATTATAATTTCAAGTTGGAACGACAAAGGTCTTTTATAAATTATCAATCATTTGGAAAAAACCAGACGCCGTTTAATTATAAAGCAAGTGGCAAGCGATTTGTGATTACCTAGCGCAAATCCATCCTTGGTCCATTGAACTTGTCCTGCCAAGTTGGCAACTTCGCACTCGAGCATCGCCTCGCCCCCTTCGAGAACTTTGACGTCTCTTGGCGAGACCCTGAAGTACTGCTGCTGGCCGGATATGGAAGGCGCTGCCGCCATGAGCATCAGAAGTACTGCAACAGAGAAAAATAAAAGGAAATTAGAGGCGTTACTCTGTGTAATCGACCGATAGACATGTACGTATTATTGTGTATTAGAAAGTATAAAAAAAAATAAAAACATTTAATGTTCCACCTTAAATTAATTGACCACAACTGTGAATGATAAATAACAATAAATTAAGTTCAAGTGGTTATAAAACAAATGACCGCCCGAAAACAAAAGTCTATGGGCCCGGACGTGCACGTTAAATTGCTGTTTAATTATTCGTGTGATTACAAAAAACGACAATGACATGAAATAAATGACCACCTGCATATAAACAAAGACATTACTGCTGAATAAGGTCAATTGAGTGTTAGTCACCATAAAAATAAACATCTAATATCGCACGTGAAAATGCTGCCATTTCAGTGAAGATCAATGAATTGTAAAACTGCAAATGTCATTAAAGTGCCTTTTTAGTAGCATGTTGATTTTGTGGTGTTAATAATGCAATAGTTGTGTATCAGGCGGGATCGTCCTTTTGCCGGTTTCCTGTTTGGTGAGGCGTTGCGGTGAACCGTGCTTAAGATTTATAACGTTAACTCTCGGGGGAAACAAGGAGTTTTCGACTATTCGCGAACCGGATATTTTTATTTATTTCTAATGGTGGGTTGGGAGATATATTTGTTTTGTTTCGTTTTATTTCTCGCTGTTTCGATTTGTCTTCCCTGACAAATTGCGTCAACTTTGCATAAAACTTGAGAAATAAACGTGTGAACTTTAATCATTTTCAAGCAGCGTATAATTTTATTCTTGTAGTATACAAATATTTGTATTTTGTTTTTGTTTTCAAATTATGCTGTCACTTTGCAGCATCTGCCACCAATTGAACGTGCGGTGTCGAACCCTGTTTACATAATAGTCGCGCTCGCATTCGACATGCGTTTTTTCGATGGAAAATCTCGCGCCCTGCTGGTGATTTAACCAATGCATTGAAGCTGGTGTGCGCGCCCGACCAAAAGTAAAGCAAAAGGCAATAATTCTTCATGATACATTTTTAATATTTATTACTTTCACATGCATGATTTATAACATGTCGCATGGGCGATATTTACGTATGAATTATAATGCAGAATGTAACTTTTTATAGGGCGTCATGTATTTGCCAATAAATTGATGCCCAGATTACATGCGCCGACTCCCTTCATGAATATTCAAGCGTTCAGCTGAGCGCGTCGCTCTCGCCGCATGCATATCTCTCTATATGTATGCATTCACGATTTTTTTTAATTTAGCACGCTCGATCGCTAACACTTTCGGGCTTGCCGACGTGCGCCCGGAAAAAAATTCGCAATACGCGCACATAATATGCAAAACTTCGCGCAGTATTACCAGTATACCGCAGTATAGTCGTGCGAAAGCGCACTACTAGAAATATCATACGTTTTGCGGCAATTTATACACCGGAAATGGCGATCTGAAAAATGCATCTTGCAGTGCGCCATTTCGATGCCAATATTGACATTGTCTGTGGTGAAATCCCATGCACCAGGCATGGTCAGTACAGTAGAGAACAGTAGAACACACGACAATCATTAACAGCAGTTTGCGACCAGTGTTTCGGCATGGCCATATTTTTTTTTGTTATCTCCTGCGCATCCCGGCATGCCCATTTTATGATTGCTCCGCTTTGGTTTTGTGTAATCCGAAACTCCACAAAAGAACAATCCAGGACTGCATATGCTGCCCGCATGGCTCGGATTCTCGCGGCCCCCGTCCGCATTGTTTATACTTTTATGCTTATTTTTGTATGCAACTTAAAAGCGTCCACACAGATGAAGAAAGAACGCGCCTTCGCATCCACACTTGTAAATTGCGACTCTCACAACAGTCGCAGTTGCAGCAAGCAGGCGATGCTATAAAAAGATGTAAACTTTTTCCAACGCGAAGAAGAAGAGACCCGGCTGCGTCTCGCGCCGAGAGACGGCAATTAGATGCTATAACAGATGCAGTTTTGCACAAGATACCGACGCTCTGTCATCGCTGCGGCGGGGAACGCCCCGACGGTTTCGCAATATTCACACAACAGGCGACGCCAACGTCGTGCAAATCGAGCACAATCTCATGTAGATGAATGTAATTCGTCCGCCAGACTTCTTGCTAATGTAATATAAAAGTTCGTTGCTCTACAGTATCGTATTAAAAATTAGCGTCGTAGCAGACGGGAAGAGATAGGAAGGATATTCATGTTTTTCATTTCAAACTTTAATATAGTCTTTCTGTTGGAGAACGGTGATATTTCACATTATTCAACAACTAAAAAATGCGATGCACAAGTCGCAGGCAGAGTAAATATATTATTTCATTATACATGATCATGGATAATAGAAAAAAATAAGCGTGAGTTGTCATAGCAACGTAGTGTGCTTTCATGGGCTGAAATTACTGACTCATTGAGCGATGATGTAATCAAATCTCTACCACCCGCTACGTTCAAGTGGAGCAATAAAATCCTAGCTGATCATACCTCCCACTTGTCAGAAAACAAAACTAATATTGTATTTATAAATCGCACAGCACAGCCGCTGGCAAATGAGACATCTCTATCGGCGCGACTGCACCGAAAATAGCTATGCAAAGCGAAGCGTGCTTACGACGAAATGACAAATGGCGCTCCAAGTGAAATATTATTATTTCCAGTTTGAGGCAGCCACCCCGCACACCATCACTCCAGGAGTTGGTTTCTCCTTCGCGTGCAAGATACAGTCGTTCGTCACTCAACAAGCGTGTTTAACTATTTATTAACGTTACAAGCTCGCCGTTTACAAAAGCAAAGATGAAGGAGTGCGATAAATGGGAATCGTCGAGCATGAAATCGTTATGTGTTGTTCGCCGCACGAACACGAATACAACCTATAAGCTACGCGGTGGTTTACATGAAGGAATATGTAATGTAACCGTAGAATCAAGACATTACTCGGGAGATTGTTGGGTGGTATCGTGAGCTATGCCTTATTTTCAGAATCGCTTCGTTGCTCCCACTGGCTGTAATGAATGTTTTTACGGCTAATGCTTGCCGTAATTTCATGCTTTGCTTAATGTGTAATGTTCAATTAACACCTTGTAATCAGTACATTCATTGTAAATGAAGATGTTTAAACATACACATATACATTACCCGAAAAGTAGGTGATTTATTATAGTCATAATTAAATTTCGATTTCACTCATGCGCAAATACCGCAAATGTCTGATTTTATCGTGATTGAATCTTTCATTCACTCCATGACCATGCATTAGAACATCCTGTTTTGAAACGAGTATAACTTATGAATGAACATTCAAAATATTAGAAGCATGTAGCTTCAAATGAAAAAAAAATACATCAAGAAGTGTACTTTGTGAAGCGTTAAATATTTATTTCATCGCCGCTTGGAGATTTAATGGCGCCCGGTTGATATTCAATGTCGTTGAATTATGTTTGATAAGTCGGTTAACTTTTAACCAATAACACCAATAAAACCATTAGAGCGCGAGTAACATGCGACCGCATCCAGTCGCGTAACCGGAAGACGCCTAAAACTACCACACAAACTCATTAAAAACCGGTCCTGGTTTTTTGTTCATCTCCCGCGAGCGCGTGGAGATTGTGAAAAGCGGACGCGGCCCCGAGAAGTGATCGGCGCGGATTTCAGAATCACGCGCGGGCGCAAGACAGAGACGATGACCATAAATGTGTATTAACATAATCTGATACTGACGTCCGCGAACGAACGCGTAGTGTGGGAACTTCTACTTGTGAATGAATCCGAAGCCGCAGAAGAGGTTACTCGAGAATGAATCGACGCCCGGGCCAGCAGCAGCAAAGCCACCAAACAACAACCGGCACAGAGCGCAAGAGCAAGAACCAAGGCGGAGGTCACTTAATTACTACGGTTTCATTAAGTCGTTGCCTGCTTTTTAACATTTACATATACGCACACGCTTGCGTCTAATATCGGTGGGCTTTTATTTTTCTTCCTCGACTTTGAAGAGCAGACACAGACACGGTTTTAATACGTTTATAATATCGACGTGTTGCTCGTCGAAGCCCAATGACTCCGTGCGTCGTCGAGGGACAGGAAGCGAACCATTTAAGGTGTGCGTACGCGCCAAGCAAGGTGTATTTTTTATTGACGCCACTAAAGGATGAAGAAAGGCCCATGGCGGATGGAAGGAAGCCGACGCCGAGGCGAACATCCGGAGCGCACGACGCCAGAATCACTAACTAGGTTTCTTTATCGTAATTTATGATGATATATAGTTGAATTCGTTCCATAATTTGCCATCCGTCTCTGTATCGGAAAATCGTCTTCGTTTCAAAAAGTTTCGCACTAATAGTGCCTTCGTTAAGCTTAAATGTTCATGAATACCTTTAATCACCATCGTTAAGCGCAAAATATGCATTTAAACGTGGCTTATTAGTTGTAAAAGAATACAATACCACGACACGACAAGAATAAGAAAATTTAAGGCAAAACCAGCGAAAGATGCAAACTGCAAGTTTATTCATTTAAAAGTTTCTGTTAAAGTATTACATTTTCCACCAAAATTACTTCATTTCAACTTGTCTGGTTATTTTCTGTTGAAATTTCTAGACGTGTTGGCGACGCTCGCATTTTCATTAGTATTCAACAAAAAGCTAGTAAATATACCCCAAACAAATGGAATTAAAACTTATCTTTTTTCGCATCAATTTCATAACGTCGTTATGTTGTCGTTGAAAGTATATATTTGTCAAATTTCGTATTGAAATATTGATTAAAATGCGCGCCAAAGTTTGGATAGCACGTTGTGGAAAAAGTCCACATCCACCGCTGTGGATTTACACTGTTTGCGGTTAAAGTTTAAATCCTGACTGGCATAATCCTGAAGCAGATTTAGTTTATTTAGGGCTCGTCCTGCCGGATGAGGACCTCACTCAACGCATACCCCATTTAATACACGCACTTGCCACACAGGGGGAATTCGCCTCGGCCCAGTTGTTTGCT